TCTCGATCATGGGCTCACCTACATGTGTGATAAGGAGTGAAGGATCAAAGGATGTTTGATCTTCTGCGATGGCTAGAATCTCGAAAGTTTTATTATCATCAATCTGATCTTGAATAGCTTCTTTGAGTTTCCAACACTCCTCAGTATCGTGACCCTTTCCTTGGTGATATTTGCAGTGCTTATTAGAATCCCACTTGGGTGGCCTGGCTTCTGGAGCTGGATCTTTGATAGGCCTTATGGGCATGACTAATCCTTGATGGTGTAGGTTCTCAAAAGCTGTTTCATAACTCATACCAAGTGGAGTGAATACTCTTTTCGACCTTTGGATTCGTGATTTAGAGGTGTTCATAGCATGTACTTCATTAATGGGAGAGGAAGAAGAAGGATGGTCGTTCTTCTTTCCTCTCGCACTATTATCTTTCAGAAGGTCATCTTCAATGTCAATGCCTATATTTTATACAGCCTTGAAAGTATTCAAGTTGTGTTGGTATTTTAAGTGCTTTGAATACTTCTCTTGGAGATTCTTGATAAATATCCTCACATATTCTTTTTCGGTAGGAACCTTAACCATATTAGTAGAAGTTTCCCTCCGTTTGTTGAAGAAAGAAGTGAACCCTTCGTTTTCTTTTTGTTTTAACATCTCAAGTTGTCTATGGTCTGTTTCGTCTTGAATGTTGCACTTATATCTATCTATGAAAGCGTTTGTTATCGACTCCCAAGAAGAGGTTTTCTCTTTGTCAAGGGAAAAGAGCCATTGTTGACAAACAGTCTCAAGAGATAAAGAAAACAAAGAATGAAAGACTTTCTTATCAATCCCCTTAATGTTCATTATAGTTTCAAAAGCTCTTCGATGAAAGTAAGGGTTATCTGTTGCCTTGAATTTTGGGATGTCGTTGGCGTTGAACTTATGCGGAAGAAGTTCCTTGTCCAGCGAGACCCCTTGTGAACTAATGCCTTGGAACTTGTAGTCATTAGATAGCTTGCTCAAGATTTCTTGCATGAGCTCCATTTGTTGTTGCTTCATAGGGTCATTGATTTTGAGGGTTAAAGCCGTTAACACCTCAGTGACATCAGTCAATTGGTTCCTAAGTTCATTAACTTCTTCTTGACTTTCCATTACTTTCTTAGCCTTCCTCTTTTGACGAATCGGTTTATCAAAAAGTAAGACTTGAACAAATGTGTTGTCCTTGATTAATCGCCCTTCTCTCCTTGACCAAGTACTGTGGAAAGGGAAATTAGGGACATTCACTGTTAATTATTTGTCTCAACTGTATTCAACATGCATAGATGAAAGAAGGTAGGAAGAATGAATGTTGTGATGGGAAGAAAAATGATGTAGATGGAGAGATATGAAAAATTAGGAGTAGAATGTACCCCCAACTCAAATGACTAAAAAAACCGACTCATGCATGAACCTAAGACATGGTCATGGTGATATATACTCAAAGTGTGTGCTAAGACTAATGAGTGTAATGAGTGTAGGTGACATATTAAGACTCTTGTGTAAGACCATGTGGTTAAACTATGTGACTAGACTCAAGCAAAGACTAAGTTAAGACCTCACGTATATGCATTAAACTGGACAGGTTGTGGTATTTTAGTCATAACTTCTGATCTGTGACTCTGATTGGGATGAAACTAACTTCAAAATTAAGAATAAACTCGGGGCTACAGATCCATAGGTTTTACGACTCGTATTTCTTCCTAGAACTCCGTCTATAACCAAAACAAGTTGACGTTTGTGTTGTATACGGGAATAAAAATCCGGGTTGACTTAAAGGGACTATAACTCGATTTTAGACATATTTATTAGCTCAAATTAATTAATTAATTAATTAAAAAAAGTCCTTTAGTCGTTTAATTAGTTTATTTAGGCTTAATCACAAGTCAAACAAACGGTTAGGAAAAACACAGAGTATGCACTAGCAAAGAATGCGCAAGTAGTCAAGTAGTCACAATATGATGCAATGAGTTTGCAACCTAACCATGGCTCTAGTTCTCTAAAGTTGGGGATATGGGTTAGTCAATAAAGGGTCCATGGTTAACTGTCAGGATGCACCGCACGGAAGCCTAATCGTGAAGGGTTGGCACGAGTGGATGGGACACCGCGAATTTAGAAAAACTCGCTTCCATGGTTTGATGAATTCAACATTCTCGGATGTACCCTTTGTTGCTCAGAGCGTTTAATCAGGTAGATGGAGCATGAATTCCCAGAGGGTTATGTCCATATGTAGAACACATATGGGTTTCAGAAAAGTGAGAAAAACTCAATCAGGAAGTAGGATCGAGCAAACAGTGCTAAAAACTGGTCAAAATTAGAACGCATATTTCTGACTCAGTATTGGAAGAACTTGGCGCCAGCAAACAGAGTCCAGAGCCACCTTTTGGCTTTAGCGCCTGGCGACAGAAGCCGTCGCCTGACGCTAACGTCAAAATGTTGGCGCTAGTCTTTGTTCGCTGACGCTAGTTCCTACATGCCTCAGCAACTTTCTGTGCTCGATAAAATTTTCCAGTTTCGCGCAGCATTATTTCGATCCTAGTTGTGAAAGATATTCCTCAAATTTCCTACGTGTAAAAGTCCTATGTTTTTAACTCATTACGGATGGTCTTTCCAATGAGATCTTTTTTATGCATATGACGATAATGTTAATCAAATTACGCACATGAAATACTTAGAAATTTTCGAGTCTCATCCACTCATTCTAAATCATTGCCGAAATAAATTTCAGGAATTAAAATAGAAATCCTCCCCAGTGGAGTCGCCAAAAAACTGTAGGGAATATTTCAAGCATTATCCCTAGCTTGAACCCCACTGTGATCATACACTAAAGTACGGTGGCGTCCAAAGGGAAAGAAGATAGAGCAAAAGATTCGCCAACAAGTTTTAGGAACTTGTAAACCGTTCACGAAGTGAAGGTTACACCCCTCAACGATCCAGGAGATCGTTAACTCCAATAGGTCTGGAACCATGACTGGTAGTTCGGGAATGAAGGTACAAATCCAACCTAAAAGAGATTGAACCTGCCCTAATAATAGGCCTCTACTTTATTCTGATCGTATTCATGTGCGCTTTCTGACTAACATGCAATCAATAGGATTAACCCTAAACATGTTTATCTATGTTGGTTGAATATTAATGCACAGATAAATCTATTATTGGCGAACACTTGAATTATAATCAAATTAACCCTAAACAAGATTATCAATTATCTTATTAAGCGTGATTACAAGTACAAATTCCCTTTAAACATGCATAAAAGGTGTGATCAAGCAATAACAATTAATATAATATATATCAAGAAACATAATTATCATCATAATAATAATTATTAATTATAATAATTAAAATAGTCATGATCCTAAAATAATCATATAATAACAATTATTATAACAATTATAAAAATAATCATGTTAAAGCATAATAATAGTAAGATCCTAGGCATGATACTAACAAGATTAATAACAAGCCCTAGCATGTCACTAAACATAAAGATCAAATATTTAACCCTAACATGATACTAAAAAGAAAATAGGAAGCATCGCAGGAATCATAATAATAAGCATGCTTGATTTAAGGAACTTATTCTTTACCCTAAACATGATACTAGGAAGCAATAAAACATCCTAACATGATACTAGGAATCAAAATAACAATATAAGCATGATCATAATATCAATAAATCAATTAAAGCACTTACTTGGATGCCTCGTATCTCTTTCTAATAACAAAATACGCACGTTAGTAACTTCAAGGAAAATAATAATTAAAACAACAATTAAATTAAATAATTGAAATAAAGATTTGGGACCAAACCCTCAGAAATATCAAACCTTTCACGTCTAGGGCGAAGGCAACTTCGAACTTGGCTAGGTGTGTCTAGAGCTAATGTATGAGGAATTGTGTTTGTAAAAAGGGTTGGTTTAGAAAAAGAGAGAGAATCAAGAAATTCTTGATGAGAGTTGGTGAGAATTAGAAAGAGTAAGAATTGATGATTGTAGATGATTGAAAACGGAGTTTTTAGGAGCCTATTTATAGAGAAAATCAGTCAAAAAGATAGAATATCGAACAAGAGATCTGACGTGAATAAAACTTGATTAGCGCCAGACGCTAGCGCCAGGCGCCAAGCGCTTATGCTGGCGTTAGGTGCTAATCCAGTTTTTGACGCGGTTTCTAAAATCAGATAGAAATTAACCGTACATGAGGATAAAATCGTATTTTTCTCAAAAACACTTTTTTATTCTAATTAAAACTCTAAAAAGTCAACAAAAGTCAATTTATCAATGCTAATTGAATTAGGAATGAAAAGAACCTTCTACAAGAATCTAGAAGACTAAAACCATTCCTAATTGCATTAGGAATGATAAATCCATATTAGGCCCTCCTCTAGATCATTGGGCCGCATATAAGGTTCAAACCGGGTCCAGTTTAGTAATTTGGCCATAACTTCCTCATTAACATCGGAATTGGGCTTTTAATATATCGTTGGAAAGCTCTTTTCAAGCCCCATCCAACTACACCATTATTGGACCCTTAGCATGGACCAAACTAAACTGGAACGCACGTTTTTTAAAAATAAGGTAAGAAAAGAAATATTTTCAAAAACAGAAAGAAGAGATATTTTAATAAAAAATCCTCATCACTAGACTTTTCACACTTTCGCTTTGTTCGATAATCAAATGACATGAAAGGTATTCATCACTGGGTTGGTTTTGGGGAGACATATTTGGGTGTCTACAGGTGGGTAGAGGTTTTAAAGGTGTAAGCTGCGGTGGTTAGAAGTTGCGGTGGGTGGAGAAGTATGGAGTGGTTGTGGGTGGAGTTAGGTGGTAAATGGTGGTGGTGGGGCTGGCTTGTGAAGTGCAAGGAGTACAACAACCTTAGGTGCGTTTTTTTTTTTTTTTTTTTTTTTTTTTTTTTTTTTTTTAGCTACCACTTTAGGCCATTACTATTTTACAAATCTGTAACACCCCCGATTTACTAATTAATAATAAACAATAAATAAAAGAAAAATAGACAAACTTTAAATAAAATTGCGGAAGCATACACCTAAATCAGAGGTATTACTGTCATACTCGACAACATGTCAAGTATTAAGGCTTACAAAATCACAATAATACAACCCAATAATCTAAGTGGGCTATTTATACAACTTTACAAACTCATTATAAAAATACTAATAGATTACTTGAGCTCCTTCAGCTACGATCACTTGATCAACCTGCTTAAACAATCTTGACTGCTCACCATTAAGGACAAATTTCAAAATAGATCGTCGCAGGGCCACCATAAGAAAAAAGATATGGCCGCAAACACAAGTAGCACAACAAAACAACACACACACGTCAGCAAAAGCTGAGTAATCACCACATATCAGAATATAGAGTATAATTGAATAATTGACAATCCTAGCTCAATTAAACAATGTAGTTCGAAACTACATTACACATTGTTACTCTGGAAATAACCTTTGTCAAACTCAACCTCGAATAATAATACGAACTTTTACTCACTTAACTCATATAACCCATAAGTGTGCCATGCTTGTTGTCCTATACCTAGCCTTGGACATGGGTAATTCGAATAAAACCAACAAGTATAAAAACTTGAATACTCCCAATAACTAGAAAATACCTTGAACCAGACCACATACGGGCCAATTTCCACTGTAGGGGAGCATAGAAAAACAAATAATAAAAATTGTACCTCATTCTTAACTCATGATCATTATCTCATTACCAATATGCCAAGGACTAAGGTCTATAATGCCGAGCCTCAAATCAATAACAAAATAATAATTCTCAACATTTTGATCTCATACATCGATTAAATAATCTTTCACATGATAATAAATTCTCAATATTAATTCTCAATATTGGCACATGTTCCCAAATAGTATAACAATTCGATTTATAATATCTCAACTCTTTAAAAAAAATACTAATAACTCAAATATAATCAAATCTTAACCCAAAAATAATACTCTGCATTAACAACCCTAAAACCTCGATAAAACAATACTCCCTATAACAATAACATTAAAAACACTAGAAAAATAACACAATCAATCAATACGACAATTATATCATATAATACAATACATACACAACTAATCACATATATATAAATCTTGATCATACAAATAAATCATAAATTTTACATATAATAATACAAAATATAATCAATTATCAAATAAACAACTCCAAGGATTAGGATTCGTGTGATTACCTTCCGAAAATAATTAAGCAAATATAATAACAAGATACTCCACGATTAAAAACAACTCACAGCAAGGTACTCCACTAATTCACAAAACTTGTAATTTTTGGGAAAAGTAATAATAATGGGTTTGATCAAGAGTTTTATGAAGATAAATACTTATCATATGAATTCATGGCAATATGGCTGCTGCTAGCTATAACCCACGAGAAAGGAAACTTAATATCAAAACTTACGGCCGCACAAATAGTAATAGGGTTAAAATAGTTTATATACGCTTAGAAAGATAAAGAGTCATATTTAAATTAAAATAGGGTTTTAAACCTTTCCGAACTCTAAAATAAAAATATGAGAATAGAAAAGTTATATAATAAATAGAAATAAACTATATTTTTATAAAATATATTATATAAAATCATAAAATATTCGGGTATTACAAAATCTGCGAGCGTTTTCATTAACGGTTGCAATTAATATTATTGTGACAATTTACTTGCGGTCGTTGAAATTAATAAAAACGGTCTCATCCTCGGTCGTAATTTTGGTTTTTTGCAACTATGTGAATAATGACCGTCATGTTACGACCGTCGACGGTCGTAATTAATTTCAGCGACCATTTTTGCTATTTTCAACGACCGTTTGAGACGGTTGCAAAAACCTTAAGTTTTAGTAGTGGATTATTAGCACTTACGTATTGTCACATCCTTTATTTTTGGTCTTTGAAATACTCTTCTGCATTCTACAAAAATAGTACAAATCATAGTATATTTTAATTAATTTTGAGCAACAATAAGTATAATAAGAGTTGATTACATTTTGAGAACAAATAATCACACACACACAAAAACAAAAAAAAAACAAAAAAAAAAAAACAAAAAAAAAAAAGAAAAAGGAAAACTAGGGTATATACTTTTATTTTTCGTTCAAAAATGAACAAAGTACTTACAATTTTGTAAATATAGTTGTCACGATTGAAGAATTTTGTCTCAATATCAGAAATTTGGAGTATTTTGTAGTAATTTTCAGCTAGAATGAAGGTTTTGATAGAGAGAAAATGCAAAGATAATGATGAAGAGGATGGTTGAAGAGAGAGAAATTGAATCTAAAATGATAATTTTTTTATTGTATATAAATATTGGGTAGGGGGTTGATTTGCAATAAATGAGGTAAATGGGTAGTGGAGGGTTGGGGCTAAACGCGGTATTTTAAGGGGATGTAGGTAGCTATGCCTAACCTAGGGTGTAGGTATATATAACTCGCAATTATAACATACCCATGTGCATGTAGTTCTGTGAGAACGAGTAATTAAACAGTATCTTTAATTGGGTAATTTGATATATAACTGCCAAAACTCAACACAATTATAACATAAACTAGATGAAGCTCGTGCAATACATGGTTTGTTTGAAATTTTTAAATAATTTTTTAAATCTATATTTATGTGCTAAAATTTGTTACATATTTAGATAAAATTCCTAATATCAAAATATAATTATAAAAGAAATTAATAATCTCATATTTAATTGGCTACCACTAAAATTTATTATCCTACATGACACGCTAAAAAATTAAATCCCACGTGACTCTCTCTCTAAACAGGCCAGCCGAATTGAAGATAGTTAGACTATATCTAATTATTGAATATGTTTAACTAACTTTGTATTTTTTCATATGGAGTTATTAATATACTGACTTTAATTTGACTTTGAAAAATTGTAATACCTCTCTTTTTGAATGATATCCATATTAACATTTTTTAACTTGATATTTTTGTAAAGATTATTACCGTTTAACGTGAATTTATGCTATATTTTTAGCGATTGTATATTACTTAATTACACATTGCCATTAGAGTTGATTATGACCTAGACTGAGCTCTAGCTAGGCTAGGCAAAATACATTAGACTTACCAAGTCATTTTAGACCTATTTTTCGGTTAAATAAAATTAGCTCATACCTTATAACATTTTAAGTTGCTCTAAATCTCACAAAGGAAAATTAAAAACACTACTACAAAAAAGGCCTTAGAGAATTGTTATAATAGGCTTTATAGATCGCCTTAGAGGCGATCTTCTGCTAAGCGATGTGTAAAGTTTACAGAACGGGTATAAGAGGCGTTCTATATGCAAGGGAAAAGAGAACGGGTACAAGAGACGTTCTATATGCAAGAAATACCGTTCTCTTTCCTGTTTATTATGCTTATAAAAAATAAATAAAAGAGAACGGTTAACACTGATAACAGTTCTCTTTGTTGATTTATTTTTTTTTTTAAAAAAATTTAAAATTTTGGGAGATTGCATATATACTAATCTACATCAGTAATCAATAAATTAAATTGAATTGAAGTTGTAAACGTCGAAATCAAATGCCACATTAAAACAAACTTTATTATCATTATTCAATTAATTACATCTCATGCCTATAAAAAAAAATTACATCTCAATATTTTGATACAATTCAATTAGCATAACTATCAATGTGATACTATTGTTCTTCCTCAAAAAAAAAAAAAAAAAAAAAAATTCAATGGCTTCAACCGCAGGTTCCCCTTTCACCAACCTCAACTACTGCTGCAACGTTTTCCACCAGCCTCAACCACCGCAGCGCCTCCACCAACCTCAACCACTGAAGCTCCTTCACCAATAAATTAGATCGAATCGAGCCCATTATTCAAACCCAAAATTCAAGCCATACCTAGGAAAAATATACAAGGGGCAAATACAAGTTTATTTGCCAGATAAAAGAATTTTTGTTAATCTGATGCCATTTTTGTAAATATATTGAAAAAGCGTGGTCATTTATTCAGTATTTTTGGTAAGCTGTCCAAGTACTGTTTGCAACTTGTTTTTACTATTTGGTGAGGATATTATACATGTACCCCTCAACTAATACATGAAAAGATGCATGTACCCCTCCACTAATATTTGAATAGACGATTATACAAGACTTGCAGGCAAATATACTGAAATATTTATTTATACGTTTTTTTCATTATTCATATATAGTAACTTAGATCATAGTTTTTTTTATTAGCAAAATCAAAACTAATGTTTTATTTTTATGAAATATTTTGTTAATAGATTTAGTTATTGGCCAGGTTGCGAGTATTAAAGTTCAAAAGTGATCAATGTTGGAAGTAAGCCCAGGGGTACAAGGAGGGACAACTGTCCCCCCACTTAAAAAATATCAGCATAAGTATAGTTAAATATAAATGCATGCACAATATATATACAATCCCACTAGTATAGTCTTAAACCCATGCGATGCACGGCTGTTTGTTGTATTGTAATTTTTTTAATTTAAAAAAAATTCTAAAGCCCAATCAACCTGCTCCTATTACTCAACTATGAAACACACAGTGTATGGCATTATTAGTTAACTACTTAATTGGTATACAAAGTATTGAGAGGTGTGGATGAATCAGAATACTAAAATTTTATCCTTTAAGAGGTATGGATTGTAGGACCTAAAGTATAGCATAATAATGAAAACAAATAATCCACCTGAAATATTATTATAGCAAAAGTATCAAAATCAATTACTCGTAATATTTATACCGTGGAAATTCAATACCCAACAACATTAAATAAATACTACATTTTCAATTAATCTTCAATATCCAAAAAAAAAAAAGCTATATTAAACTATAAAGCAAAATTCAATATCACCCAAATGAATTCTAGATCTGAAGAACACCTATTTATAAAAAATAATAAGATTCATAACCCATCACCAAACAAAACACTCAAAATTAGAATAATAAAATCTCAAAAGTACTAATATTTGTGAGATCATAAAATAAAATTACCCTTACTTTCAAAAAAATTGGTTGTGAATTTATAGTCTTACTAACTTTTACTAATATAATCGGCATTCTGGAAATAGTACATCAACACACGCATGAGGAAATTTGATTGAAGATTAAGAAAAATAATTAGTTCAAATGAATAAAATTTACAAAATATCAAATACCAGAAAAAGATCAACAACTGAAAAATGACAAAATTAGTATAGATAATTACATAGAAATTGAAAATTCGATTCGCCGTCAACACCAATTTCAGAATTCAAAGGTGAAAACTTTAGGCATTAAAATTTACTTAACATTTGAGAAATTAAGGGGAAGGAAAATAAACACCTTCCTTTAAAAAATATGAGAGATCATGTAGATGAGGAGAATGAAAGAGGATTTAACAAATGGGGAATCAATCGATTTATGAGAACATTTTGTGAAAAAGAACTAATTTTTCAATGGGGAAGAGAAATTGAATTGTGAAAAAGAAGGGGGAAAAAAGACAATAAATTTCACCTTAAAATCCAATAAGTAAGGATCTAACCCAATTTAATACCTTCAACACTTCAACAGTAAGAAACCCAATTAAAAATTTAAAAAACGACCAAAAAAATTTATAGACTCCAAATAAAAACATCCCGTTAGTGAAAACTATTGTAAATTTAACACTTACGTGTGGTTCAAGTCAAGAACAACTGGTTTTTCCATTATTGGCAAAGCCTCAACCCAAAAGAAGACTAAGTTAAAGGAAAGACGACATGGCTAGCAAGATTGTGAAGCGATGATTGTGTCACAAATTATGTACTCCCTCCGTGTTTTTTTAAGTGTTACACTTTTACTGACACATAATTTTAGGCAATTTAATTGACTTAAATAAAATAAGAGGTAAGTAGGGTAGTTGGAGTATTAAAAAATTGTAAAAAAAAAGATAGTGGGGTTAATAGTTTATTGAAAAATAATGAATGTGAGAGGAGAGATATAATAATAATAAAAAAGGTAGTAGTGGGTTTGTGTGGGGACCATGAGAGGAGAGAGATATAATATTTTAATGTAGCTTTTTTGCCAAAAAAAGAAGTGTAACACTTATTAAAACATGGCCGGATTTGGTAAGTGTAACACTTAAAAAAAATATGGAGGGAGTAAGTGAAATCAAACTGCAACCCGAATTCAGATCTGAAACAAAAAAAACGAAAATGGTAGAAATATTGCTTGAAATTTGATGGAACATATCATGATAACCCAATTTTTACAGAAAAACTCAATATTTGGTCTCTGGTGATTAAACACCTCCCCAACATCTATGCAAGATAAATGTTCTTAAAATAAAAATAATTAAAAAAACCCACTACTTCAATAAAAAAAATATATAATTCCAAAACATTACAAAAACGTAAAATAAATTTTAAGAGAGAGAGAGAGAGAGAGAGAGAGAGAGAGAGAGATTTTGACCTTATATGCAGAGCAAATGCGAAAATGATTAGGAAGTTTAGGCTTAATAGGAGATGGGAATGATGAACCAAGTACTCCGCATTTAAGAAACACTAGTGCATAATTGAGTTTATGTAACACATGATTGGTAACACTTCTTAAAATGAAAAATATTAGATTTATAAGTAACACTTTGGTAACACTTTATTAAATTGTATCACTTAATGTAGCAATTTTAGCATAGGTAACATTTTAAAGTATCACTTTTAAAATAGGTAGCATTTTATGGTAACACAAATATAGATGTTACCTTATTTTTTGGAAAAACAAAATAAATAAAACATTTAAATAAAAAAATACAAGTGTTAATCCCAAAACTTATACCAATTCATTAAAATAGGCAATTAGCCGCCAAAGTTAATAGAAAATTTGGGCCAAAAACGCCAGATTAATAAAAAAAACAAGAAGAAAAAAATATTGCAATCTCTCAAAAAAAAAATTCAACTTCATTCCCAGTTCAACAGTGCCCTAGCAACGATAGGTAATCAATTAGGTTTAAGCAAAAATCTATAATTCCATCTCCATAATTTCATCAGAATCTCGCGCAATTTCATCTGAAGTTTCGTCAGATAATCAGTTCGTCTCGCGCAATTTCATCTGAAATCAAGTCATCTCGAGCAATTTAATCGTGATATTGGGTTTCATTGTATTCGTGCTTCTAATTTCAGGTACTTGATGATTTGTGATGGATGGTTTTCTAATTTTTTGGTTATTTAACCTTTAATTTTCAATAATGTATGAATGAAAGCGTTTATTTTTCAATTGAATTGTGAATGGTTATTGGCTTTGTGTTTGATATGGTTCTATTTTTTAATTGAATTTTTTGATTTGGGTATTTCAAGTTTGGTTTGCGATTCTGAATTTTAATTGTGTGCTATTGGCCTTTTTTTTTAGTTCATGCATGTCGTAGAGGACATTGTAGTTTCTATTTCTAAACCTTGTTTGCATTGTGTGAGAAGTTTTAGAATTGTTGTTAGCTGATTTATGTATAGAGTAAAAACCGAATGAACAATGTTATATTTTTTTTAGTCTAATGGCTATTGTACTGTTGAGTATAAGATCAGCCATCACCCCTACATCTTCCTGTTTCACCAAGGTGATTATTGATTAGCTAGATTGTATTGTTATTGTCAACATTGAAATGAATAAAGAAAGTGTAAAAACTAATCTGAAAGGCAGAGTATTATGTCTGATAACTTGATACAGTATGTTCTAAAAACAGAGAAAACATCTCAAAATTTGGTTCATATACTTGGTATATATGTAAGCGTGCTACCTGGAGTAAAAAGAAGTTGAGACATGATGAAATTAAACTGGAAAAACATGGCATGTTTTGAATTGATTAGTTAAATTAACATAGTATATGATCCATAAACATAATTGCCACCACCATATACCAGAATGAAAAGAAATCTAGGCACCCAACAATTAAAATAAAAAATGAAATCATATCTTATAAAGAAAACTAGAGATAAAAGTAGAGGTTTCATTGTAAAATTAAGCAGATTGATAATTGCAAGAAGAAGAGCAAGCATTGAACTAGAGTATATTGCAATCATAGTATGTGGTAATGTGATAATGGGTGAGAAACTCATTATTTGGATTTAACGAACTATTATTAAAGTGTGTTATTTTTCTATTTCAAAGATAATTATCACCAAGAGGATAGAAATAACTGCTCCTCAAGCAGAACAATACTTTAGAAAGTTGGCATATTCCCCTGGTCCTGTGTTTTGTGGATATCAATAAAGGGGAAGGTGGTTTAAAATGCTCTTTCCCTTTGTCGCTGTTAGGTGGGTGGTTTTTACCATTGAATATCGCTATTAAATTCTTGGAGTTCCCATTCCCCTCTGTTTTATTACCCCTCCCCAATGTGGAACTTGCCCTTTACCTCTTTTTCCTTTACCCATCTTCTCTACTTTTCATCTTCCATTCTCATTCCATAGTCCAAACCCATTCATCCCTGAAACTTTGGTGAAGATCTGACAGATTGTATAAGCCTACCTAGAACTATGAGCAGAAGTGTATACCTCTGCCTTGTATAAAAAAAAAAAGCGATTTGCACTTTTTAGATGATAGTAACCTAAAGACAGGGATAGCGTTTCCTTAATTAAGCTGTTTTCTTCTCTTAAGTATAGTAGTCTTCTAATCTAAGCATACATTTGGACCTACTTGTTTGATTTTTATTGTTATCATATATACAAGGTTGGATTTATGGGCGTTTATTTCCATGGATATTTTCATTCCATTTAGAAATGTTAAAATTATATGCCAATATATATTTTAAATCTTTAAATTCACTATGTTTAAATTTTGATAAAGGAGACGAAATGAGTATTTGGACCAACTTCTTACAATGTAGTCATGAGTATGAGAAAGGTGTAGAGGATTATTTAGATAAAGCGTTCTCTACACGAGCAATTGGAGATCAAATTACTTTCCCGTGTAAGGCGTGCTATCACCGCTTTTGGCATCGTAAAGAGACAGTGTTCAATCATTTGATTGCAAACGGGATCGAGCCTGGCACCGAAGGATGGCATTGCTATGAAAAGGGCATATCAACAGCATCAAATACTAAAAAGGATGTTGAAGACATGCATGACGATATTGAACGTCTGATATATGATGTTCATAGAGATGTGGCAGAAAGGTATGAAGGTGTTGGAGATGAGCCCAATGATGAGGCTAAGAAGTTTTATAAGTTAGTTGAAGATGGAAAACAAGAGTTATATCCTGGGTGCAAAAAAATTTCAAAGCTATTATTTCTTATTCGTTTTTACCTTTTGAAGTGTACTCATGGGTTAACTAATATAGTAATTTCAGAGTTTTTAGAGATTTTTCGAGAAGTGTTACCAGATGCATTCAATTTGCCTAACTCTTTTAATGAGGCAAAGAAATTGATAAAAGATCTGGGTCTTCATTATGACAAGATTGATGCATGTCGTAATGATTGTATGCTATATTGGAAGGAGCGTGAAGTTTCCACGTCTTGCTATGTTTGTCATGCTCCAAGGTGGAAAGAAACACAGACTGAATCCCTAGAAGATATTAGCAATCAACCATCTAAGAAAGTGCATCAAGTCCCTGAAAAAGTTCTTTGGCATTTCCCTCTTAAACTAAGGCTTCAAAGGTTGTACATGTGTTCAGAAACAACAAAGCTAATGAGGTGGCACGATGAAGAAAAAAATAAGAATGAGTTATTGAGGCATCATGCAGATGGTGAGGCATGGAAAGAGTTTGACCAAAAGTACCCAGATTTTGCTAATGAGGCACGTAATGTTCGTTTGGGCCTCGCAAGTGACGGATTCAATCCATTTCGAACTATGAGCACACAACATAGTATGTTGTTCTAATTAATTATAACTTACCACCATGGTTGTGCATGAAGCCAGAATTCTTAATGTTATATCTCCTTATTCCCGGGCCCACCTCTCTTGGAAATGACATTAATGTTTATCTTCAACAATTGTTTCAAGAACTCAAAGATTTTTGGGAGTATGGGTTGGACACCTATGATGCGGAGAAACGTCAAAAATTTAAGATGCATGCAGCTTTACAATCAACGACCAGTGACTTTCCAGGTTATGTTATGTTATCGGGTAGGAGCACCAAAGGGAAGTTTGCATGCCCTTATTGTCACTACGAGACTGATCATCATCACTTGAGTAATAGTAACAAATCCTGTTATTGGGCTCATCGTCGATGGTTAGATGAAAATCATTCTTGGCGGCATGATATGGTGTCTTTTAATGGGGAAAAGGAAGAGAGGATAGCTCCAGATCCTTTAACAGAGGATCAAATTTCAAGCTTGTTAGAAAACTGGGAAAACAAGTTTGGAAAGTTACAACCAAAGAAGAAATATGTAGATTGTCCTTGGAGAAAGTCCTTTGTCTTCCACACTTTGCCTTATTGGAAAGATTGTGGGTGTCTTCATCATTTGGATGTCATGCACATTGAAAAAAAACGTTTGTGATAATGTGCTCGCAACTTTGTTAGACATACCTGGAAAGTCAAAAGATCATCATAAGGCTCGTTTAGATCTGGAAGAAATGGGTATAAGGGGAGAACTACATCCTGTGGATGCAGATGACGAGCGATATGTTTTGTTGCCCAAAGCTTCATTCTCAATGATGAAGGAAGAGAAAAGCATATTTTGTAGTGTTTTGAAGAAGGCAAAGCTTCCCCAAGGTTGTGCATCAAATATTGCAAGGTGTGTACAAGTCAAGGAAGGGAAAATATCAGGGTACAAGAGTCATGATGCTCATATAATAATGCAACACTTGCTTCCGCCAGCAATTAGGAAAACTTTACCAAAGCATGTTGCTTTAACTCTTATGAGATTGAGTCATCAATCCGAAAGATTTGGATCGCCTTCAAGCAGGAATTGTTGAGACTCTTTGTGAACTAGAAAGAATATTTCCACCTTCTTTTTTTGACATAATGATCCACTTACCGATTCATTTGGTTGATGAAATCAAGCGTGGTGGACCGGTGTGTGATTAGTGGTTGTACCCTATAGAAAGGTACCTAGGAAAGTTAAAATCATATGTTAAAAATCAATTTCGCCCCGAGGCTTCTATAGCAGAAGGTTATTTGGCTGAAGAGTGCTTGATATTTTGCTCTAGGTATTTGAATGCTAGTGTAAAGAAGCGATCTAAGTGGTTTAACAAAAGTCAAGAGAAAACTGATGAAATTGATGAAGAATCACCTTTATTCCCTAAGGCAGGTTATCCTCTTGGGAGGAAAAATAAAGGGAAGAAGAAAGGGAAGGCATACACTCTTGATTCAGACACAATGGCTCTAGCACATCGTTATGTGTTGTTTAATTGTCAAGATGACCAAGTTGAGAATTACATCAAGTGAGTAATTTTTTCAATATCTTATCCATTATGTTTAAATTTATATTGTTTTATTACCTTACTTATATGGCTAATACTATGAAGGGAACATGAAGAGTTTATGAAGAAGAAGTCTAGAGACAAACGAAACAGAAGATGGAAAGAGGCACAAGAGCATAGCAATGAATTTATGGTTTGGTTTAGAGAAAAGGTTGTGGTGGACAATGTCCCGGATCATATTAAGTGGCTATCAAAAGGTCCTTCTACTATTGCAAGGAGGTACACCAGATATTTTTGTAATGGATATAAGTTCTACACTAGAGATCATGATGAAAGGTGTAAAACTCAAAATAGCAGACTGTAAGGGAATAATTTCAAGCCTTTAAAATCCCACTAGCTTGAACCCCACTGTGATCATACACTAAAGTACGGTGGCGTCCAAAAGGGAAGAAGATAGAGCAAAAGAGTCGCCAACAAGTTTTTTAGGAACTTGTAAACCGTTCACGAGGTGAAGGTTACACCCCTTAACGATCCAAGAGATCGTCAACTCCAAAAGGTCTTGAACCAAATAAGGGTTCGGGGATGATGGTACAAATCCAACCTAAAAGAGATTGAACCTTCCCTAATAATAGGCCTCTACTTTATTCTGATCGTATTCATGTGCGCTTTCTGACTAACATGCAATCAATAGGATTACCCCTAAACCTGTTCAATCTATGTTGGTTGAATATTAATGCACAAATAAATCTATTATTGGCGATCACTTGAATTATAATCACAATTAACCCTAACAAGATTATTAATTATCTTATTAAGCGTGATTACAAGTACTAATTCCCTTTAACGTGCATAGAAGGTGTGATCAAGCAATAAAAATAAATATCAAGCAACATAATAAATAATCATTATCATGACAATAAAATTATAATCATAAATAAAATAATCATCATCAAAATAATAATAATAATATTTATAATCATCATAAATTATAACAATTATAATCATAATCATGTTCATGTTAATATTAAAGCATAATAATATTAAGATCCTAGGCATGATACTAACAAGATTAATAACAAACCCTAGCATGTCACTAAGCTATAAAAATCAAATCTTTAATCCTAACATGATACTAACATGAATAAATATTAGGAAGAACATAGGAAACATCATAACAATCATATTTAATATTAAAATTACCCTAGACATGATACTAGGAATATCATAATAACAATATAAACATGATTTCTACATAATAATATCAATTAATCAATAAAGTACTTACTTTGATGCCTCGTACCTCTTTCTAATAACAAAATACACACGTTAGTAACTTCAAGGAAAATAATAAATCAAAACAATTAAATTAAATAATTGAAAGAGAGATTTGGGACCAAACCCTCAGAAATTAAACCTTTCACGTCTAGGGCGAAGGCAACTTCGAATATGGCTAGGTGTTTCTAGATCTTGTGAATGCGGAATTTTGTATGAAAAAGCAAAGGTAAGAAAAGAAGAGAATGTTGAATGTTTTAAGAAAGATGAATGATATCAATTGGTGAATGAATGTAGATGATGATCATTGGTGAATGATAGATGTAGATGATGATCATTGGTGAATGAAAACGGAGTTTTTAATACGTTATTTATAGAGAAAATCAGCCAAAAAAGATAATTTAACAAAACAGAGTCTGACGCTCAGGAAACAGAGCTGGCGCCAACCCTGGCTAGCTGGCGCAGCCTTAGCGCCAGGCGCCAATGGCTAGCGCCAGGCGCCAAGGCCTGGGGTTAGGCGCCAAACCTGATTCCAACGCGTTTTCAAAAATTCGATAAGTTTACCGTATTGGAGGATAAAATAATATAATCTCTTCGAAAATGCTATTTGGTTTTGATTAAAATTCTGAAAAGTCAACAAAAGTCAATTTATCAATGCTAATTGAATTAGGAATGAAAAGAACCTTCTAGAAGAATCTAGAAGACTAAAACCATTCCTAATTGCATTAGGAATGATAAATCATATTAGGCCCTCCCCTAGATCATTGGGCCGTACATAAAGCTCAAACCGGGCCCAGTTTAGTAAATTGGCCATAACCTCCTCAATATTCATCGGAATTGGGATTATAATATATTGTTAGAAAGGTCTTTGCAAGCCCCATCCAACTACATTACTATTTGACCCATATCATGGACCAACCAAACTGGATTGTCTGTTTTCTTAAAATAAGTTTTCAAAAACAAAAAGAAGAGAAAAGAAAATAAAACTTTCCGCAACACTAGACCTTTCCACACTTTCGTTTCATTCGATTATGATTCGACGTGAAAGGTACTCATCACTGGGTTTGGTTTTGGGGAGACACAAATGGGTGTCTACACATACTCTCTTTAACCGCTTTGACTCCAAGCTTCGCAAGTAGCAAGGATAACAATCATGTTCTTGGTAATGTCACATATTATGGGGCTATAAAATCGATAATTGAGGTCGATTATTGGAGTGCATTTAGTGTTGTGTTGTTTGAGTGTGATTGGTTCCATGTGGAAGTAGATGATTATGGACTCACTCGGGTTAACTTTAAGAAATTGTGTTCTAAAGATGATCCTTTTGTCTTGGCATCACAAGTGCATCAAGTGTTCTACACTCAAGACGGCCTTGAAGAAGATTGGCATTATGTGCACAGAAATTTGCCAAGAGACTTTTTTTATGCCGAGGGGCAATCTGAACACACATATATGAATGAAGTTCGTGAACCCGCAGAGGATGTAATTCCGGCTACAGATAATGATGTACACCAAAGTTGGTGTAGAGAAGTTGCTTATGACAAAGTTGAGGTGCCTGTTGGCCGTGAAATGAGAGATCATAATCACGAAGAAAGTTCCGATATAGATGACACTGATTGGGATTGGATGGAAACGTCAAAGTGACATGCATGTTTAGATATTTTTTTATGTATAATAATTGTCCTTCTTTTGAACTTATTATTTGGATTTGACAAACTATTATTGAAGTGTTCTATTTTTCTGTTTGAACATGTTTTCTTATGAAATTGATAAGTTAGTTGTTAAATTTAGTGTTGTGCTACAGAATTTACTCTAACCTTTATTTAAATACTTTAAATTTATTTGAGGTTTGATATGATAGTGACAATATTTACATTTGACAGTTTTGAGCTATGTGGTATCTTGGTGCTCCGGTGCTTTTAGGTGCTTTTTCTGTGCTCAAGTGCTCAGGTGATATGACCCACTCTTTCTGTGCTCATTCTATGTTGTTTTTGTGCTCAAGTGCTTTTTTCAGGTTATGTATGTGCATATTGGCTTTCATATTTTTTTGTTTATGTATATCAGCTACATATCACAGTTATTATAATTTTTTTGGACTAAGTGGTCTTCAGCTACATGCCTTGAGCTACTACAGTCTGTATTCTTGGCTTATTACCTAGTTTTCGCTGTGATTTAAATGTATTATAGTGAGTTTGATAAGGATTATACAGGGCAGGCTACAGCCAATTCAAGGCTCAGAAACATTTGTCTCTCTATGAACTTGATCTTGGTCCTAGCATGTCTTAGTAGTCAGAACCATGATTTAACATAGTACCAATCACTCAACATGTACCTCAGACTATTAGTTGATCAGAGTTGAGTATAAGGTGATCATAGTATTATGTATACTGAAATTTGCATTGCATTGCTCTTTCTGACAAATAATATGATTTTATACAATTAGGTGCTCAGGTGCCTTTTTTGTGCTCAGGTGATATGCATGCTCTTTATGTGCTCAAGTGCTTTTATTAATAATTGTATGTAATTGTGTTATTTTTATTACCTTTGACTCAGTCTTGGGTAAGTCAGGTGAATATAAATTCAGGCTGATAGTCCTATGCTCTAAACCCAAACTGATATGAGCTGAATTTTTACTTTTCTTGATCTGATTAGCTACGAGGGAAAGTTCATATATGACTAGCTAACTGATTAGCTAACTGATATTGACTTCAGATAAGAAACTGAGCACAGAAACTGAGAAACTCAGCACCTGACTACAGATTCGAGCACCTGAGAAACTAAGCACAGAATGAGCAACTCAGCACCTGACTTCACATAAGAACTAGGACATACAGGCTAACTAACCACCATAAGAATTCAGACTATTAGCAAGATTTATTTACCTCAGACTCGGCTTTATTAAAATTGCTATTAATCTGAGGTAAAGTAATCTTGCTAATACTCAAGTATAGCCAGCTATATGCAAGGACTCAACCTAAACCGGATGTTCGCTTCACTTATGCTAGAAGGATTAGGAAATAACCAGAAGTTAGAAGTTGCTGAGCTGTCAGGTGGTTAAATTCAGTTTTGGGAGAAGGGTAGATTGGTAATCTCAGGGAAAGTTTATTAGGAGTTTGTTATTGTAGGCTGGCATGCTTAGGGAGTGCTGAAGTTTGTTTATGGCTTAATTTTGGGGTATTAATAGGGAATGAGGGAAAGGGGAATGTATCAAAGAAATTATTTAAGAAAGTATTTTTGAGAGAGCTCCTTCCTCTCAGAAGAAGGTTGTATTGTTGGATACTCTGTTCAATAATACTACTAACATTCCCTTGATTGCCTCTGTTTTTGTCATTTACGGCTTGTTTCCTCATTGATCTTTTACTATTCTGTAGCACTATAATCACGCAATGCAATACATTGAATCTATATTAGTAGGAATAGGAGGATAGTGCTCATATATGACTAGCTAACTGATATTGCATGCATTAAGTTCAAACTAAAGGTTTTCTCCCTACATGGATCAGATGTAGACATTTCTTGATCTGATTAGCTACGAGGGAAAGTTCATATATGACTAGCTAACTGATATTGCATGCATTGACAGCTTATTACTTTTGTTCTGCAGAATTATGCATGCATGTCATAGGACCTAAGCTGAATTATCTATATTTGCATATATTTGCATTCAAGTCCTGGATAATTATGCATGCATGTCATAGGACCTAAGCTGAATTATCTATATTTGCATTCAAGTCCTGGATAATTATGCATGCATGTCATAGGACCTAAGCTGAATTATCTATATTTCTGCTGAATTATCCAGGATTACACTTCACAGAGCATATATTTGCATTCAAGTAAATATTCAGAGCACTATTTTCCTATTTGGTGCACCAAACTTTAACCTGTTGAAAAGCACCCAAAATGCAATGGATCCATAATGAGCTGTCAATCTGGAGTGCTTTAAACTATTTCACTAACTATGATATTAGCCTTTTTTCAAAGACATGCCTGCAACTAATTTCATCACATATTCCTTCATCCTTTTTCTTTGGTGTGAGTGTGTGGGTTTTGGTTTTTTTTTTTTTTTTTTTTTTGGGGGGGGGGGGGTGGTGGCGGCGATCTCCAAGGGATCACCACATATGAAAATTTAAATGACTTAGATCAAGTTCACTTCAAGAAACAGTTGTCTAAGTTCCATCTCCCAATTTCTTTCCATCATAAATTTCTGTTCGCTATTTCCTACTAGTAGAATTCACCATGATCATCAAGTTTATTTCCAGAAACAGTTCTCAATGTTTCATCTCCCATTTTCTTTTCTATCATTTATTACTGTTGTGCTATTTCCTACTAGTAAAACCTAAGCTTTTACACTGAGGCCAATCTGAGAAGAGATCTGCCACAAGAGAACTTCGAGCTTTAACATGGTACACCATCACCAGATTCAACACCACTCAATAAGGATATCGCAGTAGGATGGGTTAGTGCAGCCCTGCCAGGTGATGACATGTAGCCTCGTCACTTGTAACTTACAAAACTGTCCTAGGTCCTATGACATGCATGCATAATTATCCAAGATAGGTTAAAGTTTTGTGAGAGATCCCCACCCCCCGCCAAAGTGTTGGACTCATGAAGGACAGTTTTGTGAGAGATTACTAAATGTAGTTCATTGCAGAATTAAGTACATTAACCTTACCCAAGGAACAATAAAATATGCTTTTTCTGGTGAACTGCATAACATTGTTGCATGCTTAATATGAAGTATATATGTGATTGCATTTCCTGTATTCAAAGAAGCATTAAGGTATGAGAATCAAGTGGGAACTTGATGGTAGAAAATTAGAGATCCCACCCTCTCTACTAAGAGGTTGGAGGTTCAATTCCCATCACCCCAACCTGTCAAATAATCAACTCTCTGGTAATATCTCAACTGGTGCATATATCTTGCATAATATAAACTAAGTTTTGCTTACATAGACCTTTTTTTTTAGTTGGTTTTTGGATTACTTATCAGACTATGAGGTTAGTATATAAATATAACAGAGAATTCTGAATTTTGTGTCACTTGTGCTGACTGCTGAGTTTTTGTTCTGGTGGAATTTCTAACTGACTGCCTTGTGTGTTCTTTGTAGGAAGAAAGATTTAGATGGAAGAATATGAGAAACTTAGATAAAAAAATATAGAACAAAATAGAATCAGGATGAAGGATTTAGGGGTTACATCCATGGCTTATGAAATGAAACAGTCGATGAAGGGATCGAAACAAACGAAAAAAAGGAAGAAGGTGACTAAAGATACTGACGAGTATACACCTGATGAAGAGGGTGAACTGAACCACTCAAGTGAAGAGGATGAAAATGAGATAAGGAAAAATGCTGTAAACTTAAGATCTCGTTCAAAGAAGGTGGTAAATTTTTTTTTGACAACTTAATTTGGTGAATCATAACTGTTCAAAAATCATGTAATACTTGTTTAATGATTCTCGTGAATACTTAATTTTAGGTTGTGGCATTGAGAGGGAAGATAACCACAAACACTAAGGACACGGCATGTGTCTCTTCATTACCAATGGCTAATCAAATTAAGATGCATCTTCAAGACACCGAGAGACAACACTCAGATCAAGGATTACAAGGGAGAGATTCAGCACAAAGAAAAATCCAATTGGGCAAGTCTACTGCACAGAGAAAATCAGGAATCCATAATCAGCAAGAGAAAGAGGTTGGGATTGGGAATGGTATCCAAACTAAGACAGGGCAGAGTAAGACAGTGGTTGCCCCTGGTTCACTCAGTGCTTATAGGCAAATGCAAACACAATTACGTGAAAAAGAGAGGAGAGCAAAACAAAGTGATTTATTACTCCGACGACAACTACGACCTGTTAACTTGACTAGTTCACAGCCTGTTAACATGGCTAGTTCAGATTGGCATTTAGGGAGTTCACAAGCACAAAGTTTTTCACAACCACAAAGATTTGGACATGACTTACAGGAAGATTATGAGAATCATATGGGTTCAAATGAACGCATTTTGGAACAATATGACGATGAAGAAGATGCTTTTAGTGAGGTTTTGAGTACTCTTACCCCTGAGGAGCTAGGAATAATGCAAGATGTACCACTAATGAATCAAGAGCAAGAAAGTGAACAAATAGGTAATGATCACTATCACTCCGTTCTAAAAATTTTAAGATAGATATGTTAAGAGTAATGTATGATTTTAATGACTTTGTCGAGTTAATATTCATGTAGCACCTCCAAAAACTAAGTGAACTAGAGGACCAACTATGTGTAAAGATGTCCATGAACGGACATTAGAGGAGCGTAAGCCTATTGTTCTTAATGAAATGGGAAAGCCTATTGGTCCCGATGATAAGACTGTGAATACATTTACAAGATTCTTAGGGACTTTAGCTCGTAATTCTTCTCTAGCACCGTTGAACAAGATTAGTTGGCATTATGTTCCAGACAAGGAACAAATTTGGAGTTACGTGAAGGTATGCACCTTTTTTTTAAATGGTGTGATTTGATTAGTTTATGTGCTATTATATGTCAAGTGGCTGACGTAATTTATTGTTTCCTAATTTGTTGTTTAATATTTTACTTAATACAGAAGAAATACATAATCTCGGAAAAAGGTAAAGATTGTGTTTTGACATCCGTGGGAAGGCTGTGTCGTAGATATAAATGTAGTGTAAAGGCAACACACTTTACTCCGTACGACAATGATGGTGATAGGTTGGCAAATCCACCTAATACAATTCCAGAAGCACATTTCAAAGAGTTGCTAGAATTTTGGAATATGGAATCAGTCTAGGTAGAGTTATGTTGTTTATTTCCATTTATATTACAATTGTTTATTTCTTTCTCAAATTGAAATGTGTTAAACTATGAACCGTGTGTTATGCATGCATGCAGGAAGACAGCCAAAAGAAAAGGGAAATAAGTATAGATCAAAAAGATAGGCACACCATGGGTCTTATGACTTTAGCGAGGAAACAACATAAATTGGTATATTTTTATACCATTTTTCCTTCTATATCTTTCTCACTAGGATCATGTAAACAATATTCATTCAATTCTTAATTGGATGTGTTTTTTTTTTCTAGCAACAACTAGATGTTGAAAAAAAGCCATCATCCTTGGCACTCATGTACAAAGAAAGTCGTAAAAGGAAAGCAGACAAGAAATACAAAACATCTTATGAGCCCACCCAAAGTAACATTGTAAGTCCTGTTGTCTGCATATTTTTTTGAATATGATTATTTGTCTCAAATTAGTTGTTTGATTGTTATATTCCCATTATAGGACAAGATGGAGGAGGTACAAATTCAAAGTGAAATTGATGGAGATGTTGCATATTATGAAGTAATGAATAAACCAAATAACTTTGGCCATAGAAAAAAGCAACCAAGGATATGTTCACTAAGGGGAAAGAGCAACAATCAAATAATTCCCGATGAGTTCTTAAAGTCCTATAAAGACCAAATTGTGAAAGAAACTGTAGCAGAATTAATAAAGACACTCAAGCAAATTGATCCTGAAGTGTTGGATACTTTGACTCGATCACTTGAAAATGTGTCATCCAATCCAGAACTTACAGATCATATTCCCATTGTATACTCTAATGAGCAACAACGAAATGAGGTAAGTTAATGTATAATCTTTTAAATAGCACAAACTCTTATTATTGAATTATTTAATTTTTGTTCTAGTTTTTTGATACATGATGCTTTCACACATAGGATCAAACGGATGAAGATGAAGAATTGGGATAGCAATTGATGATCAACAAGAACTTTCTTTTACTGCTTTTTTGCTACTGCTTCCGCTATTTTGCTGCTGTTTTGATCTGTTTTGCTGCTGTTTCGAGCTATTTTGCTACTGTTTTGCTGCTACTGTTGTCTCTATTGCTGTTTTGCTGCTGCTTTCAGCTGTTTTGCTGCTGTTTTGAGCTGTTTCGCTCCTGTTTCGAGCTGTTTTGCTGCTGTTTCGAGCTATTTTGCTGCTGTTTTGCTGCTATTGCTGTCTCTGTTGCTGTTTTCAGTTGTTTTGCTGTTGTTTCGCGCTGTATTGCTGCTGTTTCGAGCTGTTTTGCTGCTGTTTTGAGCTGTTTTGCTGCTACTGCTGTCTCTATTGCTGTTTTGCTGCTGTTTTGCTGTTGTTTTGCGGCTGAATCTTGCTCATTCGGTTGCCAACTCATGTCTACTACTGCTGGTTGCTGCTAATTCATGTCTGCTATTGCTGGAAGCTTCCACTACTGTTTACTGCTAGTTGCTGCTAAAGACTACTGATGACATTTGTCGTTCTGCTAGCTAGCTGTGTAGCTACTGCTATACGCTGTTATTATTAATGTTTTTTTTTATTGTTATCGTTGTCTTTTTTGAAATTTGGAAGTTTTTTGTTTTTCCTTACTTTTTCCAAGCTAGAGATGGAACTTAATATTTTTTGTGTTTGGATTATTATATTGTTTGGCCAAACATTTTAATTGGTGTTTATGGATTTTTTTTTGTGAGAAATATGAAGTTATTTCAATCCAATTCATATAGTTGTTGTACATATAATTTATGTTTTCTTACATTTTTTTAAAAATATAGTAAATAATAATAATAATAATAATAATAAATAATAATAAATAATAATAATAATAATATTAATAGTATTAATAATAATAATAAATGTTACCTATTAATTTATAAAATATTACAATACTTTGTAAAAAGTGATACATAATGTCGAATAAAGTGCTACTATATGTCAAAACATGATTAAAAAATGTTACCTAATAATCAACAAAGTGTTACATTAGTTCGAAAAAGTGATACATAATGTCGGATAAAGTGATACTATATGATTGAAAAATGTTACTAAAGATAAGTAAGTGTTACAGAAAAAATAAATAGTAACACTTTAGAAATGATACTAATAATGTTAAAAGTGATACATAAAAGGATTTATAATAACACTTTTAAAAGTGTTACCTAATGTTACCCAAAGTGTTACATAAGACCTTTGGTAACATGGTATATCACCCAATAAAGTGTTACCTATTGTCTATAATAACACTTTTACCACTTTGTGTAACACTTTTAGGGTGTTACCTAAGGTTAATTATGTACTAGTGAAACAAATGAAAATAACAAAGGAAAAGAATAACAACCAAAAAGGGAAAAGATAATTGTAACATTTCACTTGGATAATTTTTTTTGAAAAGACGCTACATTGAAATTTGAAAGCCAAATTTTTTTAAAAAAAAATTTAAATAAGGAAAAAAAGAAAAAGAAAAAAAAAAGGATGATATGGCACTCTATATTTCTTTTAAAGATAGTAGTATTGATTTGTAGAACTTGTCTTTAATGTAAGACTCGAGATCAAACCCCAACTAGGCTGCTAGTTCATTTTTAGCCCCTTTTGCATTCATCTTTTCACCAGTTTTCTTTTCTTGAAATTTGCCTTTTCATTTTTTTTCTTAATGATCATAAATTATGGTTATAATAGGGAACTATGATAAGACCATTTAATTACCTATATTATCTTATGTTTAAATATGTCAAAAATTCAAACTCGGCTACAAGATTTTTTTTTTTTAAATCTACCATTGTTCAAGTACTAGCAAGGTATCATCGGAGGAGGAAGAATTAATATGTGATGTTGGATATTTTTAGTAAGTATTTTGGATTTTTGAGTTCTAAAACTTTAATTATTTAACTAACTACTCGTTTAAGTATATAATTTTTTTTTCTAACATTTTGGTCAAACAATACAATGTCCATTTGTCCCCTCCATTTTGAAATTTTCTGGCTCCGCCACTGAATACTCCGTGTTATATTAGTGTTCACGATGTGCATTGTCCACTTGTATAAAACTTTTTTATTTCATTATTTGTGTTTCTCGGATCATGGCGGATCCACACATCACATGTATATGAATTAATTCATTTTGATAAAAGCATAGAGATCTAACACTTAATTAGCATAATGTGTTACTCCTTTCATTAATATATGAATTTAGGATTGAACATATTTTGATCGTGTGAAGTGAACTCTCTCGCTCTTAGTGACAACTTTGAGTAATCGTTTACAGACAAGAAAAAGATGAAAGTCTACGCTTGTCCCAATTAAACTTGGGATAGATGTTCGAGAATAAGCCACGGAGATTGATTCGTAAAACTTGAAACATAATTTAATTTAAGTTTGGCGTTAACAACATTAATCAATTGTGAAATCAAAATCATTTTGAAAATGTTGGATATCGGGAAAACTCCTCAATCTGGAGTGTGTACCATTGATCAAATATATAGAGTTTACAACGCTAGGATAAGGACTCCTAGATACGATAAACATACAAAATATACATTAAATATATCATATACTTGTGACAAATATTATCCTAAATATAATATCTATCACACCTCCGCAGTCGTAGCGGGAGGAGGTCGTACGCTAAGAGTGGATCGAAATTCCAGAAATAATTCCCGCGGTAGGCCTTTAGTGAAAATGTCTGCGAGCTGATATCTAGTAGGAACATGGAGAACCCGAACTTGTTCCAATGCAACCTTTTCTCGAACAAAATGAATATCCATCTCCACATGTTTGGTGCGTTGGTGCTGTATGGGGTTGCCTGAAAGGTAGATAGCACTGACATTATCACAATAAACAATAGTAACCTGCCGTAGAGGACAATGTAACTCTAGGAGAAGATTACGGAGCCAACACGCCTCAGAGACAACATTTGCGACGCCTCGATATTCTGCTTCTGCACTCGACTTGGATAAAGTATGTTGACGTTTAGATGACCAGGATACGAGGTTGTCCCCAAGGTAACAACAGTAGCCCGATGTGGAACGTCGGGTGTCGGGACAACCTCCCCAGTCAGCGTCAGTGTCAGTAATCAGTCGATGTGAAACAGTAGGATATAAATGTAGACCATGATCAATGGTACCCTGAACATAACGCAGAATGTGTTCCAATGCCTCATAATGAGGTTCCTGGGGATCATGCATAAAAAGACACACCTGTTGCACCGCATAGGAAATATCTGGCCTGGTAAAAGTGAGGTACTGAAGAGCAACTGCTAAACTGCGATACAAAGTAGGATCCCGAAATGGTGGCCCTGCATCTGCACTAAGTTTGGACTTAGTGTCAACTGGAGTGGCGGCAGGATTACAAGAGGCCATCCCTGCACGCTTTAAAATCTCCTGTGCATACTTTTCCTGTGAAAGTAGCATATAAGAAGGTTTTCGGGTTACAACAATACCCAAAAAATAACTCAGAGACCCAAATCAGACATGGGAAACTCAATTTGTAACTGAGAGATGATCCATGTGCGCAACCTGTCAGATGAGGTAGCTAAAAGAATATCATCAACATATAAGAGCAAATATGCCATATCATCACCTTGCCAGAAAGTAAATAGAGAAGTGTCACTTTTAGTAATGACAAAGCCCAATTTAATAAGAAAACTGGCAAAGCGTTGGTACCAAGCTTTGGGAGCTTGTTTCAAACCATAAAGAGCCTTGTGCAGCCGACAAACATGAGAGGGTGCCCTCCGATCAACAAAACCTGGAGGTTGATGCATGTAAACAGTTTCCTGCAAATCACCATGTAAAAAGGCATTTTTGACATCTAATTGATGAATCGACCACTTTTTAGCCAATGCAAAACTCAGAACAGTTCGAATAGTGGCCGGTTTAACTACCGGGCTGAACGTCTCATCACAGTCCACACCAATTTCCTGCGACCTGCCATCACATACAAGACGAGCTTTGTGCATTTCAAGGTCATCATTAGACTTGTATTTATGTTTAAATAGCCACATACAATTAACAACATTCACCCCCGCAGGTCTAGGCACCAAATCCCATGTCCCTGTTTTAATTAAAGCACCATACTCATCATTCATCGCCGCATTCCAATTTTGATCATTTAAAGCTTGTTTATATGATTTTGGAAGAGGTGATTTAATGTGAGGGGGTCCCGATTTTTGAATGGTGAGGTTGCAATATTTCGGGTTTGGCTTAAATATGCCCCGCTGACTGCGGGTTATAGGAGGGGACGGAGGTGGTGGCCGAGTAGGTTATAGGGGAGGAATGTCACGCATAGGTGGTGGGGAATAGGTAGGTGGAGAGGATGGGTTGGTTGTGTTTGGAGATAACGGGGAGCTGAGGTGGGGCAGACTGAGCTGGCCCAAAAGTGGTGATGGGGGGCTCACTGATTGGGCCGCTGAGGATCCAGTGCGTGCTGGCCCAACAGGCAAGGGAAAGGGGTGAGCTGACGGGTTTGGGCAGGGGAGGGAGATGGGGAAGTTGGGCCAAGTGAGGGCTGACGAGGTTGGGCCAGAGGAGTGAGAGGGTTGGGTTGATAAGGAGCTGGGCCTGCTGGTTGTAGTTTATTTCAGAGGTAGGGATGAGAAAGAAGAGGGGATTGGTCATCATACCCAAGGAACTCATAATCCTGTAATTTGAAAGGAGCTAAATTTTGATATGGAAAGGTAGACTCGTCGAACACCACATGACGGGAAATAATAATTTTATTAGTTGAAAGATCAAGACACTTGTAACCACGATGATTAGAGGGGTATCCTAAAAAAACACAAGGGGTAGATTTAGGAGCAAAGCTTGTGAGGAGCCATGGCAGCCAAGTTTGGGAAACATTGACATCCAAAAACCCGAAGATGGTCATAAGATGGGTTAGTGCGGAAGAGAGCTTGTGCCAGGGTCAAGTTATTTAAGGACTTGGTTGAAAAATATTTAAGAGATATGTAGCGGACTCTAAGGCATGAACCCAATAAGAGGGGGGTAGGGATGCATGGAATAGTAAAGTGCGATTGACATTGTTAATAGTGCGGATCATTCTTTCAGCTTTACCATTTTGGGAAGAAGTGTGAGGGCATGAGAATCTAAAAACCATACCATTTTCTAGACAAAATTTTTTAAAAGGGTCATTGTCGAATTCTCGACCATGTCACTTTAAAAGGATTTTATAGGCCGTTCAAACTGAGTTAAAACATATTGTCTAAATATGAGAAAGCTTTGGCAGGCTTGAGATTTAGATGCTAAAGGAATAGCCCAAACATAATGAGTAAAATCATCAAGAAGCACTAGGTAATATTTGTGACCATTACTACTACGAATAGGAGATGTCCACAAATCGACATGTATAATATCAAAAGCACAATAAGTATTACTATTCGAAAGACGAAAAGGAAGTCTAACATGTTTCCCTAATTGACAAGAAATGCAAACATTGGAGTCTAGCTCCTTATTATAACTAATAAAATTATTATTTTTAAGGTAGCTTATAGAAGCTGTTCCCGGGTGTCCTAGGCGTCGTGCCAAGTGGTAGGAGCGACAGTGGTGAGGGACGTGGCAAGGCATGTGCTTGGATAAGTAGTAGTGATAGGATAGAGATCCCCCGAACTATTGCATCGGGTGATTACCCTCCCCATTCGAAGGTCCTTCACAGAAAAACCATTAGGGTCAATAGAAACCAAATTGTCAGAGGTAAATTTACGGACTGAAATAAGGTTTTTAATAATTTGAGGGGCAAGGAGGACATCTTTAAGGGCAAGAGATTTATTTGGGAATTTATAATGACCATAACCAGTAATTGGAATGCGATGACCATTTCCTACTAAAATATGATTATTAGTGCTTAATTGAAACAAGGGAAGAAGATTACCGGAAGTATGGGTCATGTGAGAAGTAGCTCCCGAATCCATATACCATCCAATATCCGGTGGGGACAATCCAGGTGTTGAGGAAGCACTACCGAGCTCCGTTGGGGTCATGGGTTGACCGTACATAGGAGAACCACTGTAATAAGCTTGCTGATGTTGAGTTTGTGCACTAGGCCTTTGCTGAACATGGCCCATAGTTGGAAAGGGGGCTGGTGGAGTTGCCCATTGAGGCCAATGATACTGCTGATTGGGCCAAGTGCCCTGTTGGGCCCAACCTTGACCAATCGGTCCAGAAGGTTGCTGAGAAGTAGGGGCTTGCGAGGGTTGGGATTGTTGCTGCTGTCCACCCCGAGCCTGGCCTCCTTGACCACCACGCCCCTGGCTGCGCCCCCTGCCTCGACCGGCCTTACCCCCGTCGCGCCCACGACCTCTGCCACCACGTCCTCCGCCGGGTGCAGCTGGTTGTTGTTGGGCGGATTCGGATGATGCGGAGCTTTGTTGCTGTGCAAAAAAGGATGAAGGGGGGTTGCTGTGATCGGTGTTGCGCCGCGATTCTTCGAGAAGAAGACGAGAACGGGCCGTATTAAAAGAGGGCAGTGGGTTAGCTTGGGCAATCATAGTTTCAACGGTGTCATTATCCGTTTTATTAAGATCGGCGACGAGACGGAGCACCAATTTCTGATCAGAGATGGGCTGGGCGACGTTCGCTAATTGGTCATAAATGCTCTTAAGCTGCTGGCAGAACGCGGTGACATTAGGGTAGGCGTCAAGATGAATTGCGTTCAGTTGAGTTTCAAGGTACACCGCCCGCGTACTCTTGTTATCCTGAAATATGTCCTTGATACGGTCCCAAGTCTGTTGAGCAGTAGACTTACGACCAAGAATAGTCTCAAGAAGATCCTTCGATATGGTGCCGTAGATCCATTGTTTGACGATCGCGTCAAGTCGATTCCATAAAGTTTCAGAAATATTGGAAGGACGAGGTGTTTTGGGGTCAATGTGATCTAAAACATCATATGCACAAACATGATTTTCAAACAATTCTACCCAGCTTGAATATTGAACCTTCTCATAGTCTAGGGTCAGTGGGATTTAATTCTTGATGTTCGTTACTGTGAGGGTAGGATAAAACTCAGGGGATGAAGGTGGCGGTGGTGACGAATTGTCGTCATCCTTAGCCATTGATGTGAGGCGGTGATAGAATTAGGGGAAAAAGCGGAAGCAGAAAAATTAAAAAATTGGATCTAAAACCTAAAGCTGTGATACCATGTTGGATATCGGGAAAACTCCTCAATCTGGAGTGTGTACCAGTGATCAAATATATAGAGTTTACAACGCTAGGATAACGACGCCTAGATACGATAAACATACAAAATATACATTAAATATATCCTATACTTGTGACAAATATTATCCTAAATATAAAATCTATCAGAAAACTTAACAAGGAGCTAGTTCGGATAAGGGAGTAACGACTAACAAGTAGCTAGCAAGTGAGTTAATTCGATATTGCTGTCTTTGTCGTCGTCATAGTTGAGTTGACCTGCTTTTAAGATATAAAATTGTCCACTCCATTATTACTCGACAGTCTAGACCCATTTCGAATGTAGTTCAATACAGCGTATAGTACTAGATTATCTCTATTTTGATTGAATAATTCGGAAAAATGAATGAAGCCATAGTTTCATAATGGTACAAGTCAAGGTATGTAGTCCAAATTTGACCCGTAAACATTATTTTAGGGTTTGGTTTGATATTTGATATTTGTCATTTTAGTAGGAATAACTTTTGTATATATTCGGTGTACAATAATTTACTGTACATCAAGAGTCACTTTTTATCAAATTTAAGGTCACTTTTATAATTTTTTGGGTAATTTTTATCAATAATGTATAAATATTTCGTAACTTTTAAAATTTAGGGTCACTTTTATAATTTTTTGGGTAATTTTTATCAATAATGTATAAATATTTCGTAACTTTTATTTATGTCAGGGTAACTTTTATTCATATTAGAGATAACTTTTGCTCATTTATTTAAAAGTTTGTCTTTAAGTAGAGTTGAGTAATGTTTATTACTTTTTAAATAATACGAAATGAGTTTGAATATATATTTTAAAACGAGTTAAAAGGTCGGTTGTAGATGATTTTTGGAAAAGAGTTGAAGTTTGTTACAAAGTAATATAGTAATCAAATGACTATTCTATATCATACTACAATTTACATGTTAACTTTACAATTAACTTATTAACTATTTTAAAATACTATTTGAATTATTGGTCAAAAGCTAATTGTTACTTGAAGTGCTACAATTGGAAATAAGGAATACTTCTGTATACACCCGTTTTTCAGTAATTTACTGTATATCGGGTACACTTTTGTCGGATTTAGTGTCACTTTTGTTAAATTTAGTGTCACTTTTGTCAAATTTATCAATGAAGCATAAAAAACTCTTATATATGTCAGAGTAACTTTTGTGTGTTTTAGTGTAACTTTTACACATTTTATTGTAACTTTATAACGGATGTTCAGTAATTTACTGAACATCCGTTTTATTTAAAAGTTTGACCGGAAATAATTGCATCGTCCAATCAAGTATCACATATATCAAGTATTAAGGCATTAAGTTAACCTTTAAAAATAGGAGTATGAATTATGTTGGGTATATATAAATATTTTTTGTTAGTATGAATTTGTGAGTAGGTAAATGAGAATAATTACATTGAAAGTTAGTATGTACCAGGACAAATGTGAAAAAAAAACGTAGATAATTAATAAAAAAGTAATTGAAATGTAACTAACAAAGGAAAACGCCCAAAATGTGAAACGTAATCATCTTTCAAATTAGCGGAGGGAGTACACGTTTAACATAAAACAAATACATGATTAATTGATTAGCAACTATAAATACCCCTCTTAATCATGCATTTTATTCTCACACCACCCTTCGTAATTTCGAGTACATTATTAGCCTCAAAAATGCCGACACTTCCAAAACTACCTCTGCTTGTATCTTTTACTATCCTCCTCTCTTCCCTCACACTCAACAACGCAGATACTCCACCATGCAACGCCCAAGACCAAGCCATCTTAATTAAAATTCGCGATCATTTCGGAGGCATCAACGGTCCACTTTCTGACTGGGAAACCAACTCAGACTGCTGTCTTGGTTTCAGTTACGTCGGATGCAGCAGAAAACCCGGCAGTGAATACGGCGGAGTCACTGGCGTAACATTCAGCCATAACATCAGCCTCTCCGGCACCATACCTTCAGACTTCGGCAACCTGCCTTTTCTCGATCGCCTTGATATTGGCCAGAACAGCTAACCGGCCCAATTCCTAGTGAGATCTTCAAGCTGAAGAAACTCCAAGTAGTTGATTTATCCGCCAATCAGCTGTCTGGGCCTATTCCGTCGTCTGTAACTTCGTCGCCGTCTCTTACACAGTTGAACCTCGCAAATAACAAGCTTACCGGGTCTATACCGCCGATCCCAAAGACGTTGAAGAGCTTAGATGTGAGTAACAATCAGCTTTGCGGATCCATACCTAGTGGTTTGACGAAGTTTGGAGCTTCAAGCTTTGGTAATAATAAATGTCTATGTGGTCCTCCTTTGGCTGTAAAATGCAAGTAAAAATTTGATGTAATGCTGTTAAAATATAAGGAATAAAAGTTTTTTTTCTTTTTCTTTGACATAATTTTTGAATTTATTCAATCTTCCATGATATACAGTATATTAATTAATTCTGTATTTTAATCATTATCTTAAAGTAACGAATTTTTAGTTGAATTAGTCATTTAATAATTCTAATTGTTTGAATTTACTTACTAATTTATACCTAAGGGATGGCTCAATTAATAATAGACTTGCCTAAGATTATATATAGAGGATTAGGGTTTGAATCTTGCATTGTATGAGGGTATTTATCTAGCTTATGCTCCTCTTACATACCTTACGATGCTTATAAATTCTTAAATGTATCTGGTTCACACTAATTTATTGTGAACTATCAACATTAGAGACAATATGATTGTTTTGTTAATAAAAAATATCACTATTCTTTCCAAAAAAAAAAAAAAGTCGCTATATTAATATAAAGGTTATTATATTTGAAATAAAAGTTAGTGTGACATTAAAAGCTATAAAAGGTTAAGTTTTTTAATGAATTTTTTAATATTATGGTCAATAAATAAAGACCACTATGTTAAAATTAGGTCACTATTCAACATAGTGTCGTACTTTAATTTCATTATAACATTAAAGGTCACACAAGACGTAAAAAGGTTATTGTGCTAAAAATAAGCTAACTATATTAAAATTAGGGGTCACTATGTTGAATATAATGTCAGTTATGTATGTATAAACCTTAGGTCCACAATAATTTATTGTGAACTAGGTTCACAATAATATTATTGTGGACTAGGTTCACGCAAGATTTTCTGGCTACTTTTAATTATCTAGCTTGCAATAAAACTGGATTAAAAAAAAAAGCGTGAGAATTCAAGCATGTCCAAGACCCTTCTTACTTAAAAAAATTGATTTGAACTTACTTTAGCTTATTAATTATATATATATTTTTGTTTGACTAATTAGCTATAAGAATGACAATGAAATGGATAACAACATAGAAAGGGCAATGAAAGATGTGCTGATAAAATAGGAATAGGTAAGAATAATACGTGGATGGTAATGATAACATTAAGGAAATGAGGCTAGATGTGTTAAGATTGCACTAGAAGCTGCTCTAATTCTTGCAACAATCCGTAGGATATGATTAATGTTCAAACTACTCCTCTATGGGGCTGTATCCCATCACATAACTTATTTCATGATCAAACATAATCAAAAGCATTGACAAAAAGTAACATTAATGTCTACTAATTCCCTCAAGGGACTAGGGTTTCTCTCTTGGGAGGGTATTTTTTTTTACCTTCATTACTAGGTTTTTTATTGTATTTTGAAATTTTTTCCTTCACCCTTCTCCTTTTTTTCTCCTTTTCTTTCATATCTTTTCTTCTTGATCTCAGTTGCAATATTTGTAGAGGCTTCCATTGATATTATTATCGGTGGTAATCTTTAAAAACTTTTTTTATTGCTTAAATAGTGGTTATCCTGATATGTTCACTTTCTTTGTTATTTCTTCCGCCAAGGATTAGAGATCTAGAGTTTCATAATTTCTGTAAGTATTTATAGGACCACATGAGTATTTTCACCCAGATGAATATGCATATGTGGATTTTAAGCCGAATTAGTGCTAACTCACAGATTAAATTGCTCCAAATGAAGTTTTTAATTAAGGTGATCGTTGATCGAATTTTAGCCGAAATAGTGCTAACTCACCTATTAAACTCTAAAAAAGCTACGCAACAAGGAAATATATATTAGGGGATCCATTGCATACTTCAAAGAGTGTAATGGAATTATCTTCTTTAGCTTAGTCATTATCGAATTGTGCGGCTAGCTATCTTTCTTGGACTAAGTAGCAACACGTATAAACGTATTAGGAAGAACGTCGTTGTAGTGTTCTAGTAGGCGTTTCAAGTGGATAGACTAAACTATTATGATGATTGTAGAAAGAAAAACAACTTGGACGGTTTCAGTCGGATTCATCCATTGACATAAAGTTGCTAGTTTAGAACTATAAACTAATCAAAGATAAGCAATCAATTTATTTCCTATCCAAACCATACATAATCATAAGGAAAATAGATGTCATAACCGAAATTATAATTAGGATATAATTAAGAGAAGATATTGCGTCAGTCCGAAATAAAGAAATGCGGATTGAATCCTCTATTGGATGAGTGATAACCTCTATTGACTGAGTGATATCCTTTATTAGCTATATGATATCCTTTATTGGTTGGATGATATTTCTATTGCCTGGATGATATCCTCTATTGATTGGATGATATCCTCTATTAGCTGGATGATATTATGTAGCTAATAGAAGATATCATCCAATCATGATATCATATAGCCAATAGAGGATATCATCCAGTCAATAAAAGATATCATAAATGATATCATATAGCCAATAGAGAATATCATCCAACTATGATATCATATAACCAATAGAGGATATCATCCAGCCATTAGAAATATCATCAGTCAGTAAAGGATATGTATAAGTTATTACATCTTTAATGGATATCCAATTACATCTTTGCCATTCTAAACAAAATGCAGTATTTTAATCATATATATATATATATGTCATTTCAAAATACCAAGTAAATGTTACTCCCTCCATCCCTAAATTACATTCCTATTTTTAGCATTTATTCCTGACATAATAAAGATAAGGAGAAATGTAATTTTGGGATGGGGGGATTAAACCATATTTATTTTAGAGAAATTTCGATTGGTATACCTATAATTTTGGCTTTTCTTAATGGTACACCTTTACTTTCTCATTAAGTTTTCTCAAAGGCACACCTTTACTTTGTTGTGATTAATCCTGTTAAATAAATTATAAATTAAAAACTAATGACATCAATTTGACCTATTTAAAACTCCCTCCTGCCAACATTTTGTCGTCTTTTCTTTAGTTAGTAATAAATAAACAAGAATGACATATAGGAGAAACACAAACCAAATCAAACCATTTATCAATCCATTCCGTATGATGATACAAATTGAAAAATACATATTATTAAGAAAAGCTTTCTAGGTTTGTTTGATAGGCTATCAAGCTTCAACAATTAAACCATTATAAAGTTATGCTACACCTTACAATATATTCGCGGTAGCACCATTAAAATACACTAGAATTACTTGCAAGGAGCCAAGGGAGCACCACAAAGACAATGGTTGTGAATAAAAGAGGACTGATCAAACTTATCAAACGCCCCTCCGGTAGGAATCCGACCGCACAAATGGTTGTAACTCACGTTCAAGAATGATAAATGAGGCAATTCTGCCAACTTAGGAGGAATGTTTCCATATATCTTGTTATGGTTCAAATTAATACTAGTAAAACCCGAACCAAACTCCAACTTACTCATATTAAACTCCAATAAATTCCTTGCTAAATGAATTCGCGATATGTTGTTTGATTTAAACATGAATGAAAGATCACCGGTAAGTTGGTTACGCGAAAAATCTAACACAAATGCTTGCCCAAACGAGTATGGGATTGGACCAGACAAATTATTGTGTGATAAATATATAGAAATGTTACTATTTTCAAAAGAGATGAAACTGTCCGGGATTGGACCGGAGAGTTGGTTCCGGTCCAAGTGTAGCGCGTATAGGTTGGGTAGTAAGGCAAGCCCTGCTGGGATAGAACCCGAAAACTTGTTAAAAGAAAGGTCTAAGAATTTTAGCTTCTTAAGTTGGCTCAAATACGAGGGAATTGGACCGGATAAATTATTCCAATCTAACCGGAGATATTTAATGTTTAAGAGATTTGTAATTTCCATTGGGATGTTGCCTATAATGTTAGGTTGTTTTCTTATGTGAAGTGTTTTAAGGTACGGGAGGTTACCAATGGCGGATGATATATGACCCGAAAGCTCACCTTTCGAAAGGGAAAGCTCGATAACTCGATGAGTGGATGGATCACACTTGACACCTTCCCAATCCTTGCAACAATCGGTGTCACCTGAACCCCAGTAGTGAGATGCATTGCCAAAGTAATATCGGCTGAATTCCAAGAGCGCGGCCTTATCATTCGCGTTGCATAGGGGTTTAGAGGCGTGAGAAGAGGTAGTAAGGATGGTGTAAAGGAAGAATGTTAAGTAAAGTTGTAGGGTGATCTTGGAGATCTTCATTTTGGTGTAGAGAGGAATTAATGTTGTAAACGAAGGTATATTTTTGTAGTAATTTATAATCATAATATGTAGGCTAAGGGATGATGTATGAACCAACAAAAAAGAAGGGAATTAAAGGGCAAGAGTGTGATTGTTCCTAGTATTACGACAGGACTATCTTTCAATGAATGAGAAAAGAAATATTTGTTTCAATATCAAATGGGTGGAATTTTAAAGTAGATGTAAAAATGTAGTATTATTATAAGTTATAACTATAAAGTATAAGTTAATATCACGAGAAGTTTTATAAACTGACTCAAAGTTGATTTTGTAATTTGGGTGATAAATAACGACACAATTTTATTTTATTGTTCTATTTCTTAATTATTGACTTGTTAGCTCCTCCTTAGCAACAAAATAAAATTATGTAGGTTTTTTCTTCTGATAACTAAAATTAAAAACATGATATTTAATATTTACATCATATAGCTAACTTCACTTGGGTGTTACTAAGTAAAACAGGTGGATGATGTGTTAGCCTAGCTATTTTGAAGTTAGTTAAGTCATTGGAGTGACATGCTAAGCATTTTTTTTGGGGGAAGAAACTTTCAAATGAATAAACTAATCATTCATGTAAATCAAATTAGTGATACAATTTCACCAAATTCTCCTTCTAGAATTGCACTAAAGGCAATTAGGCAATTCTAGAGCAAACTTTTTGAATTTCTTACTCACAAAACTCTATATTCATTTGCCAAATGAACTAATGTAATTTAAACTATTCCCTCTGTTATATATTTTTTGTAAGACAAATTTGAACAAAGTGGAAAAAAACAATATGAAATTGTTGTAAAATTACAGAAATCAAGACAAAACATATTATTGTGGAAAATGTACAAGGATTTTAGCCTCTTCCATAAATACATAAATGTACCATTCTTTCAAGAGTAATTATAGCAACCATTCTTAGTTAAAATTCTAGAATTTGTTTCTCATCACATATTAACATCTTGCAAGGGGGTAACAAAATATTAACAAGACATTCATTATTGCGGACCAAATCAGAAGTGTCAAACCGTATCAACCGTCCGCTAGTAGGGAGGTGGCCGCACATATTGTTGTTACTAACGTCGATAAACTTGGGCTGCAACAGCCCGAGTCGTTTCGGATATGATCCATAGATTTCATTGTCAGCTATGTCAAGAGACCTTAATCCCTTGGGCAAGTCTATATTGGTGAAATCAAACTTGAACTTGTTTTGTCTTAGTGAGATTCTTTGAAGAGGTTTATCCTTAGCAAACAAAAATGATGCATCTCCATTAAATTGGTTGTAGGACAAATCTATGACTGTGAAATTCCCTTGGCCCAAATCTAGGGATAGTGCCAGATAATTTGTTGTTCAACAATGTTAGAGAAAGATTAGTCTTGAATGATCCAAAACTCTCAGGAATGGAACCAGTTAGCAAGTTGCTGCAAAATTGCAAATAAAATTTGAAGCAAGGGTTAGCAATAAGTAGCAACACTACTACTCTACTACTCATATGATTAAGTGCATTATGTGAGAGGGGGTATGTACATAATATGTGGGTCATGTGTCTTAGAAAAAAATTGTTAAGTGCAACAAAACCAAAGAATTAGAACGCCCAAGCCCATAAGGCCTGAAGGGCCATAACTTGGCCCAATTATATGAATAATCCATTGATCTATTTATTTATTTTCGTCAAACCAAATGACTTTTTTTTCAAACCAAAATGACTAATTGATACTTCGAGCATGTTCTCATTGATTGAAATGAGTTAAACTGAATTGAACTTATTTAAAGGGAAGGAAATTAGAAGCTGAACCGAACTGAACTTATTAGAACTAAACTTATTAGAGCTGAACTGAACTGAAATGAAAATAATCATATAAGAACAGACCCTTCGTATATACAATTTGGTTAAGTACTTTTTTTGCTCCTTCTATCTGCTACAGCTACTTTTATTTAAACAATTGTAAAGGAAAAAAAAAAGAGTATAGAGCCATATGCAATTATTTATATACTAAAAAAATAAATAAAAAAAAAAAAACGTATATCACTAAGAATTAAGGAAACACAATGCCAATAACATGGACCACTACTCCATTATAGTAAGCTAGCATCCACTTGTGCTAGTGACTCCTAAATTGAAATCATTTCTCATTAGTTTCTTAACACTTTTTACTTATGTCAGTGTATTGAATATTCAACTATAAACATTATTCTCTCTACCCTTTAAAGATTGCATTATATAACTATTTACAGTATCATATAAACATCATACAAATTGATATTTTTAAAACAAACATTGAAACCAATTTAAAATTTCCATACAAGTTATGAGAATTTAATTTAAGTTGTTAGCATACTAACCTGAACAGTGCAAGCCTAGTGATATTTGGGAGGAGCGACAAGGATGATGGTATAGTCCCAGTAAAGTAATTTAGATGGAGACCAAGTAAATGCAAACTCTTGAACTCCGGCCCCCAGAAATCGGGGATCGGCCCGGTGAGGTTGTTGCAGCAAAGATGAAGGCACTCAAGCCTAGTGAGTTTGCTCAAACGTAAAGGAATCGAGCCAGTCAGGTTATCTTGAAAGTTGATACTCAATTTCCTAAGAAAGGGAAGATCACCTAACATCGGCGGGATTTGGCCTGATATGCAGTTGACAGCGTTTGCTCCGATTCTGAAGACAGTAACACGGCCTGGGTTAGCATCATTGTCATCACATTTGATACCGGACCAAGAACAGCAGTCGGTATTAGGCATCCATGACGCGAAACATGAGGCGTTATGGAAGTGATTCTTGATTTGTAGTAGAACTTTTTGATCATTTGGGTGACATATTGAAGGGGATTCTAAGGATTTACACGAGGAGAAGAACAATAGAAGAATGCAAAAACAGAGAAATGAGGTTTTTGGTAGGGTATAGTTCATGGTTTTTGATTGTGAAAGTTGAAACATATGAATTGTTTTGAAGCCAATTCAATTGCATAGGATAAATCTAAGCTAGCCAATTATAAAAATTGAATCAGTGGTTGAACATGTGTTGTGCAACTACCTTGTGCAAGTAGCATAGATTGAAACAAGCTAAGAATAAGTCACAGCTAGTTGCTTTAATAAATCTTTTTTTTTTTTTTGGGTGGGGGGAGGGGTGTCATGTTTGAAAGCACAAACTTTTTATATGCTTAAGAGGGGGAGGGGTGGGTTTGATGTTTTGGTTATGTTTGCCATTAGTTAAAATTAAGTAGACTAAATAATAATAAAAATATTAAAATTTAATAGCAAGTACATCAAATGAAATTTATAACAATGTAATCAAGGACTTAAATTGATAAGTATCTTACTTACCATCAAAATTCAAGGATTTGAAAATTTTCTATGTAATCTTTATCATTCTTATTACTATATCTTTTTTTTACCAGTAAACCAATAATATATGAAGTATATAAAAAAAATAAATTATTTTTAATTTCTCCATAGATTAGGTTTTGATCTTACAAGAAGACAAACCTAATCTCCATTGAAAAAAAAAATCATCATTAGTAAAATATATAAAAATAAAATAAAACTAAAAAAACTTCACATTAATGTTTATTTATTAAAATTTTACATATTAATGCTACTAAAATGGTAGTTAATTATTCGAACAGTCATCGTTGACTTTTATTTTCCAGCGTTGACCACATCACGTTCCAATTAAAAAAAAAGGAGAGAAAGGGTGAATTAAAAGTCACGTGATTAGCACGTGATGTGGTCAACGCCGAAAAATGAAAGTCAACGGTGACTTCCCGACCAATGGTATTCTCTTACAACATTTACCCTTTTATAAGGTAGTTTCTTACAACATTTTTTTAGGAAATTTTAGAAAATAACACCACAAAAAAAACACAAATTTTGTTTATAACACCACAAAAAAATAAATTTTGATTATAACACCACAAGAAAACACCAAAATTTGATTTAACCACCACTTAACGGATTCTTGGATGGAATCCATTAGTGGGGCCCATAATTGACACATGTCAATAGCCTATAGGTTTAATAAAGATGAAATAATAAAAAGAAAAAAAATCCCTTAACACAGCTAGCCCCACCACCGACGCCACCTTGCTTCAGCCGTCGACACTATAACCCAGGCCGCCGCCGACACCCATCTCCCCAACCAAAACCACCCCACGGCGCCGAATATCGCCTTCCCCCATCCTGAAAACCACTCACGCCGCTGAACTCATACCACCAAACGTCCAAACCCGAAAACCACCCCACGGCGCCGAACTCCTACATCACGCCACCAACAGCTACCTTAGCTACATCACCACCATCGTCGCCGAAATCTTCTTCCTTACCTAGAGCTTTCGTCGAAAATCGAAATCCCAACCCACATTACCCAAAAACCTCCCTCACCTGAACCCTAACTCGTTTCAAGAAATCAAATTGAATCGGGGCTGGGCTGAGCTAGGTACGGTGTTTAAGGGTCAAGGTGGTGCTCGTTCAGGTGGTCGGTCAAGGGTGGTCAGCTGGGGGAACCAGCAGCGGCGGTGGGGGCAAGTGGAATGGCGCCGGTGGTGAGTGCGGTGGCTGGGTTAGGATTTTTCTTTTTCTTTTTTTTTTAATTTTTTATTTTTATCAAGTATATACTTGACACGTATACTAAGTGGGACCTACTAACGGTTTTTTGGATGACGTTAGTAAGAGGTGGTGAAATCAATTTTTTTGGTTTTTTGGTGGTGTTATAATCAAAATTTTAAATTTTGTGGTGTTATAATCAAAATATGGGTTTTTTCCTGGTGTTATTTTCTAAAATTTCCTTTTTTTTTTATTAAGTAGTTTCTCGCGAAAAAAGTGCTTTATAAGGTAGTTTTTCACAAAATGTCCTAATTAAAATGATCAAAAAGCATCAACACTAAAAAATTCCACAATGGTGTAATTTTTCACATATTTTCTCCCTAGTTCATCAATTTTTCAAATGTAAAACTAGTATGTGGCCCAAGCTATTTTAAAAAATAGGAAAATTTGTCTGGAAAGGACATATATGTTCACTATTTTGTCCGAAAGAATCTTATATATTTAAAGTGGTATAAAAAGATTTTATAAGTTTATTTTGTTATTTGGGGGTATCTTGAGGTCGGAATCCGGCAATAATTGAATTTTATCTCCAATGTTGACTTTCACGTGACCTTAAAAATTAACCCTCCTTTTCTTTCTTTTTTTTTTTCACGATTTTCCTCTAATTTTTATGGGCCTTTAAACCTTTTCATATTCAATTTTTTTCCTAAACCCATCAGGGGCCAAGCCCCATTAAGCCTCTTCAATGATCCGCCCCTGGCTAAGATTGTAAAAAGCTAGTGTAATTTATATTCATGAGTTTTTCTCAATTGGTATCTAACTAAAGTTTATTTTGTATAACTCTAGTTTCTATTTTGTGTGTGGGAAAATTACATATGTCCAATTTAAATTAGTCATTGACAAAGCAAAACTAGTGTTAGGGTTTAATGATTAGGGTTAAGGTTAATTAGGTATTAAAGTTTATGGTTAGGGTTTAAGGTTTACACTACTAAAATATATATGGGCAAATAACAACATATTTTCTACGACAGCTAGCTAGCAGAATTATTGAAAATTTTTAATTAGGATTTTGGGTTAAGGGTTTCGATAGGATTAGGGTTTAAGGCTTATGGTTTTGATTTTAGGCTTTAAGATTTAGGGTTAGGGTTAAGGGTTTGGGATTGAGGATTTAGGGTTATGGTTTAGAGTTTAAGGTTTTAAGGTTAAAGGTTAGATGTATGATTTAGGGTTTAGGGTTAGGGTTTAAGGATTTAGGGTTTAGGTTTAGGGTTGTATTTAGTTATTTAAATTACCATTTTGCCCTTCGTAATTTATTTTCAAACGACCAATAATAAAATTTTATATAATTATTTTTTTAATAAGACTAAATAATTGAAATTTTATTTGTCCAAAACAAAAAGTTGTCAAAACCATAGTAACGCCGTACAAAAAGTAAAGGACATAAAAAATAAAAAATGAAAACCCTATTTAAATTCTGATTTGAAAACAAAAGTAGTGGGTGTATTGAAAACTAAATCATCATTCTGAAATTAAAAATAAATAAATGTATTAAATGTTTTTTTTTCTTCAAAAAAAAGGATTTTGGTGAAACTGGAGAATTCTCGAAACAGAAATTTCTTTAGAAAAAAAAAGATAAAATTGTTATTAGGAAATTTTGATTTATACCACCTCTAAAAAAACGACTTATTTGCTTTTACCATATACATAAAAAAAAGTTTTATTTTACCACCAACAAAATTTCCAAAAATAAGATTTTACCACCAACTAACGTATTCCGTCCATGAATCCGTTAGTAAGGCCCACCATCTTGACATTTTTTTTTCATCTTCCCCGATCTTCCCTATCAACCAAGCGAGAACGAAATCAACTTAACCCGGAAGGTCGGAATTTGTGTGGGGCTAAGGTGGAGTCGAAATTTGGTGTGGGTTTGGGAGGTGGTCGGAATTAAGTGGTGGCTAGGGTTTTAGGAGTGTGAAACTTGGTGGTGGCTAGGGTTTTAAAAGTGATCGGAATTAGGGTTTTAAAAGTGGTTGGAATTTGGTGTCTTGGGTTTTGAGGTCGAAAATCGGAGGAAAGGGGGTCGAAATTTGGTGGTGGTGGCTAGAGCGTTGTGCAGTGCGGTGGCTGCGTTGTGGCGAATTGGTGATGGCCGGTGCGGTGGCTGCTGGTGAATTGGTGGTGGGTTGGCAGCAGTCTGGCGGTGGGGCTAATAATCAGTCCGACAATGGGGATAGTAGTAGGTCCGGCAGTGGGCTGGTAGTTGGCCTAGCGGTGGCCCGTTGGTTGATGGCTGGTTTTATAAAAAAATAATTATTTTTTTTATTATTTTAACCAATAATATGGTGACACGTGTACAAGATAGACCCCATTAACAGATTTATAGACGGAATTCGTTAGTTAGAGGTGATTGGTGATAAAAGCCAACTTTTATTTTTGTATACGGTGGCAAAATAAAACTTTATATATATATATATATATATATATATATATATATATATATATATATATATATATATATATATATATATATATATGTAGGTGGTAAAAGCAAATAAGTCATATTTTGGAGGTGGCAAAAGTAAAAAATTCCTTGTTATTATTAACATATAATGAATTATTAGAATTGTTTGTTCTTGATCCGCAATCACAGTTAAAAAAAAAAACAGTATATATTGAAAAATTTAGAATAAATAAATAAACAAACAAACAAATAAAATTTTAAAAGAGGGATGTACGCACCAATCACCATTTTTATCGTTGTGAATGACTCTGAAAGAATTCCATACACTTCGAAAAAGCTTTAATTTTATGATTTTGTAATTTATTTTTGGAGGAAAAGAAGAAGAAATAGCAGAGGGTTTATGCGGAGTAACAGAGGAATTAAGAGGAGATGAAAAAAACAGGGGAAAGTAATATAGCCGTTGTGGGTTTATTTCAATCAGAGAAATTATGAAACAAATTTAAGGGCTGAAGATTTGAGCTATAGATTGTAGTGTGGATTGCCTTTGAGTGAGTTTGGGCCGATTGTTGAGGGCTGAACAATGTAGTGTGTTGTGGCATTTGTGGGCTTATTTCAAATGAAACCCTAAATAAGGGATGATGTCTTCCTTTAGTTTGGTGATTACATATTGGTTTTTATTAATTTTTTTTTTCGGTCAAAATAGTGGTTTTGTACTTTTTGTTATGTTAATTGTTTTGTATTTGATTTCCTCAAAAAAAAAAAAAAAAAAAAAATAATAATAATAATAGTTTTGTATTTGATCTTTGTGGGTGCTGTATATATAACTTGGCCGTACAAAATCATGTATACTAATTCATCTTCAACCTTGATTATCATATAAATGTAAACCTTCATATGACGTGCCAATGATTAAATCTTATCTTATCCTCAATCTTCTTAGGCATGTTTTGCAATTACATGGCTAACAACACAAATACAATTTAGAACTCATTCGAAATACCTAAAAAAAAAAAGAATAGCTTTAGCCAACTTCCAAACGATAGCTTGTTACAAGCTTAAGTCTTAGCTTGTTTAAGTCTCATAATTTTATTTTATCACATGAATTACTTGCAAGGAGGTAACGGAGCACCACAGAGACACTTGTTGTGGGAGAAACGAAAGGGCTCAAACCGCTTTAATCGACGGCCAGTAGGGATCCGGCCACACAGCTGGTTGTAGCTCACATCAATGAACTGTAAGGGCAGCTGGCCTAGTCGTTTCGGAAGTGAACCATATATCTTGTTGCGAGTCATGTCAATGCCCTTCAATCCTCGGGGCAAGTCCACATTTGTAAAATCAAACTTGAACTTATTATTCCTAAGTACAATAGTGCCCAAAGGTTTATCTCTTGCGAATAGAAACGACACATCCCCCGTGAATTTGTTATCGGACACGTCTAAGATCGTCAAGTTTGCGTGGCCTAACGACCGTGGGATAGTTCCTGATAATTTGTTGCCCCATACTTGGAGAGTTAGAGCACTCTTGAATGATCCAAAGCTCTTTGGAATTGTACCAATAAGTTTGTTTCTGCAAATATTGTTACATTAATTTATGAATCAGTAAATGTATTATAAAATGATTAATACTACCTCCGTTACAGGTTATGTGCAACGATTTGACATAAAGCAGAGAGGAAAAATGTCTAATCGTTGCACATAACCTGTAGCGGAGGTAATATAATTTAAATTTCTAAACAAATATTTTACATATTAAGAAAGTTATGTAATTCTAATAAGGAAATTTTGACAATTACCACCTTCTGTTATGCCCATTTTAGCAATTACCACCTTCTATTTTTTTTTAAATTACCACCTTCTACTTTCAAAAAATCAAAAGTTACCACCTTCTTGCCTCCCAACTACCACATGACGTCATTTTGGGCCCATTCTTTCCCTTCCCTCACATTTCTCATTCCTTTTTGGATTCTCATCTCCCCTTTCACTTTATTCCCCCAAACCACCAATAATTGTTCGTCAATTTTGATTTGGAGGAGTGAATTGAAGTGTTTTTGAGTGTTTGGGGAAAAAAGTGATAGGGGGGATGAGAATCGAGTTAGAAATGAGAAATGTGAGGGAAATAGGGAGGAAAGGGAAAGAGTGAGCCCAAAATGACGCCATGTGGTAGTTGGGAGGCAAGAAGGTGGTAACTTTTGATTTTTTGAAAATAGAAGGTGGTAATTTTCAAAAAAAAAAAAAATAGAAGGTTGTAATTGCTAAAATGGACTAAACAGAATGTGGTAATTGTCAAAATTTTCTTTTAATAAGTAACATAATTAGTAATGTCTTAGTTGTGGTACAAAACCTGAAGCCCATGTTTACATCATTGCCTTTTGTGACTTTTATAATGCTAAATTTTAATAAATTGATAATATTATGATGCATTTCCAAAATTCCAACCATATTTACCAAAATGAATGCTTTAAAAAAAATAAAAAAAATAAAAATTAGCTTTTATAGTTTGACATTACAACTAGATGTGAGCAAAAACACAAACCTGAAGATATCGAGCTCAAATAAGTTCGGGAGAGTAGACAAAGAGGACGGGATTTTGCCAGTAAAGCGATTATCAGATAAATCAACAAGCTGAAGGCTCATAATCTGGCTCAAGAAATCTGGAATAGGCCCGGTGAGCTTGTTCGAGCTAAGATCGAGTACTTCAACCTTAGTGAGCTTAGTGATGGCTTTAGGAATCGGACCAGTTAAGTTAGGCAACTGAAAGAATCGAAGTGACATGAGGTATGGAAGATCTCCAACCATTGGTGGGATGTGGCCGATAACGTCACTTCCGTAAGCAACGGTGAGAGACGTAACACGGCCCGGGTTGGTATCGTCGTTGCAACTTATGTCATTCCAGTTACAGCAATCTATTTTGGGGTTCCATTCTGAGAAGGTTGGTCCATTGTGGAAGTAGTTCTTGATTTGTAAGAGGACTTTTAGGTCATTTGGATTGCAATGTGTAGTAGATTGTGAAGGTTTGAGAAATAAAAAGAAGAAGATAAAATAAACTAGAAGTGATATTTTTGGTAGGGCTTCCATTGTTTTGTTGTTTGATGATAATGGTAGAGAATTAGAGATAGGCTTGCTTTAATTACCAACCTTATATTCACTATTTATAGTCGTCCTTGTAGATGTTAATTGGGTTTTTTTTTTTTTTTTTCGGTTTTTATTTTATGTGCTTAGCTTAAATTTTAGTACCCTAACGTTATTCAATGTAATTGTATTTTTTACTACTCAACATTAAAAACTATGGAGTATCAGTTACTTCTACCGTTTTTTAATAGTTGTAACAATTTAACTTTTATATTATTTATGTGTTTCACTTTGACCAATGTGTGGTTCCTGCAGGCGAATGCACGATCTGCATGGTGCATCCCTTCCAAAAAAAAGCGGAAAGAACATTGTATAGAAATGTAAAGAACATTTAATTAAAGTGAAAAGAACATGTTATATAATTGTAAAGAACATTATATAAAAATGTAAAGAACAATCAATTAAAGTGAAAAGAACATGTTATAGAATGTTAAATAATGTTATTTATCTTCACGTTCTTTGATTGTTAGTATAATGTACTTTTATTTATGACATAATGTTAATTGTTTATTTTGAAATGTTTTTTGAATTTTGTCTTTAGATTATGGTGGTTGAATAAAAATAATGTTAATTACATTAAATTATCATTATAGGTGATCAAAAATTCGGGTTGTGTCGGGCCTTAACATAATATCTCGTGCCCAAACTCGAAAAATATAGCGGGCTTTTCAGGCTTTTTTCGGTTAGGTTTGGATTTTTAACTAAAAAATACATTTTTAGGCTTGCCCAAACCCGCCTTATTTTCGGGTTGGGCTGAAGTTGACCATCTATAATTATCATGTTCTTTATTAATATTACAGATGTTCTTTAGATATATATAAAGAATATAAAGTTTGATTTTTTTTATTTTTTTATTTTTTTTTTACAAAATAGCTATATGTTCTTTACAAAACAGTTATATGTCCATTACAATACAATTATATGTGATGTTCTTTATAAAATAGCTAGATATTCTTTATAAAATAACTGTATATTCTTTACTGAACAATTAAATTAAATGTTCATTCTGCCTTTTTTAAAAAGAAAACGGATGCACGGAGCATTGTGCATCCGCCTTCATGGTAAAAATTTCACACTTTGACTAGCTTTGACGGTTTATACCTAAGTAAAAATATAGTAATCTTATTAGATTCATTTCGACTTATACAATTTTAATATCAAATGTTTATAATTTTTACCTATGGAGAATTAAATACTACCTCCGTTACACAAAAGGTTATGTGTTTTATGTCAAATCGTTGCACATAACCTGTAACGGAGGTACTATATTCACGATTGAAAACATGTATCGGCAAGCGTAAAAAAAAAAGTGTTCCAACTATTAAAAAGCATATCGTAACCTAAGTAGGATTAATTAATTTTAAAGTTAAAAGTAAAAGTGAAAGGTTAATTACCAAAGAGTTTACCAAAGAAAAAGTGTATCATCTAATTCATCACGTATATCTGGCTTATTAAATATTAACTGAAGTCAAAACAAAATTATTATAAATTCAATGTTACGCACTCCGTATTATTTTAATATTACAGTACGTGAGCTTTAGTTAGGGTTAAGTGATGGGAGATCTGTAAACCACTAAGAGTAAAGACTAAACCCCACAAACAATCTAAATGTTTGTTTTTTTCAATTTTATTTTTTATTATATACTTCGCATTATTATTATTATTATTATTTTTTAAAACACCTGCGGATCAATATATTAATAGAGGTTGATCTCCACCAAAGATAAAAGACTTTGGGGAAAGGACCTATGCAAACACGTTCATTACAACTACTAGACTCCCACCAAGCAACGTGGTGAGCTAAAATATTACCCGCACGCTTTATATGAGAAATAGAGAAAGCTACAAAAAGATTAGACAACACACATATATCCTCGACTAGCAGAGAGAAATGAGTATAGTTGGCAGTCTGCTTCTTCACCCCTTGAACCACCTTCAATGCATTGGTCTCAAGGATTACAGAGGAGTAACCCAGCCTTGCTGCAAGCTGAAGCCCAAATCGACACGCCGCAGCTTCAGCTACCTCAGGGGACCAACCCACCTTCTCCTTTCGAACAGCAGCAACCAGTAGAATATTCCCACCCTCGTCTCTTATTACAACCCCGAGCCCTGTTGCATTCCCAACGTGAGCATCACAATTTAATTTCACCATACCCCTACACGGTCTAGACCAAGATGTAGGAGATGGCTGCCCCTGTAATCTCTGTCCCACAAAGACATTTTTCGCATACTCACCATACTCAATGACAGATTTGACGCCACACTAATAGAACAACCCGACCAATTATCAAAAATAGACATGTGTTCGGCATCACTAAGCAGCCCACACTAGAGTAGCGAAGGCTCTCAACTCATCACTCCCAACCTTCGATGCCATCCACATTAGCCTATCCTTGAAGCCCGAGGTTGCTTACTGCCCAAATGTCCCTCGCTGCCTTGCATTCGAAAGTGGCATGAATCACAGATTCATCACCATTGTTGCATACTGCACATACCTTACTATCCACCATATATGTGTCTAAAGTGAAGTCTTTCTCTAACAGCTAGAAACCCTTTACATGCCCTCCACAAAAAGTGTGCTAGCTTCGGAGGCCTTTGAATACCCCATATCAGTTTCCATGCCTCATCTCGAGCAAGATGTTGCGCATTTGAAGGACCAAGTCTGCCCAGCCAATACCCCAAACGAACTGAATACACTCCATTTTTATTCGGCCACCAAAACATAACATCCTTGGTTGTTCGATAAGACAAAGGAGTAGACAAAATTAAAGCTTGATCCACTGCATTGAAATTATCCTGAATCACATCTTCACGCCAAGACATAGTATCATGATTAATTAAATCACAAACCCGCAGCCCCAACTCACTATGTTGCAACGGTGTTGGCACGCACACCGAGGAATTACCAGGCAACCAAGTAGAATCCCAAACAGATATGTTGCTACCATTCCCCACCCTCCATTTCAACCCATCAAGTAACAATGATTTAGCTCCCCACATACTTCTCCAAGTGTAGCTAGGGTCGAAACCCCTACTAGCCTCTAACACGTCACAATTTTTAAAGTATTTCGCTTTCAAAATAGAGTGAAGGAGAGTACCTTGATTATAATGGAGTCGCCAACATTGCTTTTCCAATAGTGCTTGGTTGAAAACCCTTAAGTCGCGAAACCCCATACCACCCATATCCTTCGGCTTACATAATTCATCCCATTTTTGCCAATGTATCTTCTTCCTCGATTCCGTTGAACCCCACCAAAATCGAGATAAAAGGGAGTGAAATTCATCAATAATAACATCGGGGATCCTCATAATGCTCATCATATACGTTGGGATTGCCTGAGCTACTGCTTTTATCATCACTTCCTTTTCCGGGGATTGATAATAATTTTTCCTTCCAACCCTGCAATTTCTTCCAGAGCCGCTCCTTGAGACCTGCGAAAATAGCCCTCTTTGACCTACCAATTATTGTTGGTAGAACAAGATATTTGTCATGCCTGTCAACTTCTCGAACTTCCAAAGTATCCACAATTTCTTTCCGACGCTTGACACTTAGTTTTTTGCTGAAAGCCACTTCAGTTTTGTTTAAATTAATTTTCTGGCTCGACGATCTCTGATATTGGCTAATAATATTAGCTATCATAACAAATGTGACACACGGAGGGTACCCCTGCAAATCCTAGCACCATGGATAAGACCATCTTTAGCAGCTTTGTTAATCAGAGTAGAAAAAGCATCAGCACATAATAAGAACAAATATGGGGAAATTGGATCTCCCTGCTGGAGACCTCTCGATGGAGTAACAAACCCAGATATTTGCCTATTAATCTTGAAAGCAAACTGAACACTCTGCAAAGAGCTCATAGTTCTACCAATCCATGCCTCCGAAAATCCCATCTTACACATCACTTTCTCCTAAAAAGACCCACTCCACCCTATCATAAGCCTTACTCATATTAAATTTCAAGGCAATGCTACCATCTTTACTCTCTCCTCCCCTCTTCATAGCATGAAAAATCTCGAAAGCAACAAGAGCATTGTCAGAAATAAGACGACCCGGGATAAAAGCACTCTGATTAAGGAAAATCACCTTGTCCAAGATACCCTTCAATTTATTAGCTATTGTTTTTGACATAATTTTATAGACAACATTACAACAGCTAATGGGTCTAAATTCTGAAATATGAGATGGGGACTCACACTTCGGAATAAGCACAATGCAAGTATTATTCACTTCCAACAAATTCACATCCCCCCTCCACCATCCTTTCACAAAAGCTATGATATCAGGACCAACAATATGCCAAAAGTTTTGGAAAAAAAGAGCATGCATACCATCGGGGTCGGGGGCTTTGTTAGGGTGCATCTAGAAAAGAGCACTTCTAATCTCCTCATCAGTCAGCTCACAGTCAACCATTGTATTCATATCCTCTGTAACAACCCTTTCTATACCCTCCATTGCACCTTGAAAGCCTGTCGGGGAACTTGTAGCAAAAAATTTAGCAAAGTATGCAGAAATCAGACGCTCTATGTCCACCCGCTTCTCAAACCATACACCATTATCATCATTAAGACCCTTTATTCTATTCTGAGCTTTAATTTAAGTTACCTTGTGATGAAAATATTTTGTGTTTTTGTCCCCGTCACGAAGCTCATTAGCTCAAGCTCTAGCATACCAATACGACTCCTCCAATTTGTACAATGTCTCCAACTCCGCAGATAGTGTATTGCACAGCTTTAACTTCGCACCGTCCATCACCCCCACCTTTAAATCCCTCACTTTCTCCTCACCCTCTTTAATTCTTTTTTTCACCGGGCCAAAAGTGAGAGCAGCCCATGAAGCAAACTTTTCCCCACAAACAGCCACCCTCCTCGCCATATCCAATCCCACACTGTCACCACAACCCTTAGCAACCACTACACCACACTCCTCACGGGAGAGCCATAAAGATTCAAATTTAAAGCCCGACCCTCCACTATGCCTATCACTCCTCTTATCAGTGGATAGAAGGATTTGAGCATGATCAGAATTTGATTTAAAGATGGGAAAATTACGAACTTAGAACTCCGGAAAGAGATTACACCATTCCTCATCAGCAATGTAACGATCCAACCTTTCCCTCACATATGTCTCCATAGTGTTTCCCCTCTCCCAAGTAAAGGTGCTTCCCTTGAAACCCAAGTCACGAAGAGCACAATTATCCATAGCTTCCCTAAAAGCATCCATAAGCCTCTCACTCCTTTGAACTCCTCCCTCATTCTCCGATAAACTCGTTATTTCATTAAAATCACCAAACATAATACACGGCAAATT